GGAATACAAAAGGTAAACAAAGTGCGTAAAAAGGGTGCTCTTGTTGTGATTTAATGTCGAAGTGCTAAAGAAGACAGGTTTGTTGTTTGTTAACTGAACAAGCATACAAAGTTTAATACTTTTTTTCTTTCTTCAAAGAAATAACCTACTAAATTTGACGAACAAATCAATTTCGATTCTCTAGTACGAATTTTATTATAATATAAGAAAATGATGAAAAATCTTTGAAATATTTCTCTTTTTTTTTGGTTTTCTATTAAAAGTATTCTCTACGCGATTATTTTATATTCTAGAAAAAGAAAAGTTGATTAATCTTGCAAACTAACATACCGCTATTTTCTAATTTCTAAACACCTACAGTGTGCAGTGCGAATGTAACAATTAATAAGATAGCAACATCATAGAAATTTTGCATGTTTAATATTCGTTTTAAGTTTTTTTTTTTCTTTTCATTCTTTTCTTCCAGCGTTCTTTTATATTTATGTTTAACAATTTTTTTTTTTCATTCATATTATTTCATCTCTATCGCTTTTTTTTCATTCTACATTGTGAATATGAAAATTATGATCGAGCTATTATAGCCATTAATGGCTAATAATGATATTTCTTACTAATGGTAAATGTTTTTTCTTTTTTCCTTTTTTTTTTTTCTATGAAAGAATAAACAAGTAATAAGGCATGTAGCAGCTAAGAAAAAGAAAAAGAAAAAGAAAAAGAAAGAACAAAAAAAAAAGAATAGAAAAAGTAAAATAGCTAATGTAAGAGCAGCAGCAGCAGCAGCAGCGCAATAGCGTGATAAAAATGGATTCTTAACCTCGAGTTGATTTGTTGAATCAACCAATTATAATATTAATAATAATTTCTTTTATTTTCATCTTTGACAAGTGTTCAAATAATCGTTTGAGTCAACAAATCTTATTTAGCGGATTCCGTTCAATCCGATCTTCTTTGATACCACCTACAATATGTCTAGTAGTTCTTTAATTGAATTGCATACGATTACAAATTGTTTGTTGTTTTATTTTTCAAAAGAATTCTGAATGTTTAGTTCAAATAATAAGAATTAAAAAAAAAAAAAAAAAAAACAGCCGAAGCTAGTTTTCCTACTAGCTTCTTCCTACTTTGCTACTTCCCCTAGTAGCAAAAAAATATTGAATACATTTGTATTTAATATTAAAAAGACAACATGAAATCTCTTGTTAATATTAAATACATATGTATTGAATATTTTTCAATATTTTATTATGCTACTAGGGTCAATTAGATAAACATTTCTTGTCAACGCATAAATTTCAATTGATAAAGATCTGATTATTTATTTTGTGATTATTAGTCGAATCCGACCTGCAGCGTGGTACATCACTTTCGCATTTGGCAAGATTGGCCCCGTTTCTCGATTCTCAACGTGGGTAAACCGGAAGGAATCGATTGGTCAGGGAGCGAGGTGTCGCATGAGCCAATACATTGCGTACTGGGTTCACACGAAACGGCACATGCCATGCCGGAGAATTCACGAATCCGTTTGTGTAGCTCCACCGATTAATATCACCACCTGTCGAGAAGCATACGTAGAGTGTTGGTGTGGATGGTGTTAGGATTTCTAATTTTTACTATCGAAACACATTCGACGTTTCTCTGATCATCGTCCCAAATCTCACTTTCTTATTTTATTTTTCATCACACATTTTTTTTTTGTTTTGTTCTTGTCTTATATCAAAATAAATAAATAATATGACAAATGTCCTAAAAAAAATATGCAAATGGATATATAAACGTTCATCATCATCATCATCATCATCATCATCTACACAACTATAAAACAATAACAATAATAATCAAAATAACGATAATGATAATACAATAATAATAAGAATATTCTTACGCGAGATAATTGAAAAATTATTTCGAGTCTCTTATTTGTACACGATGTAGATTCTTTAACGATCGTTAAACTACTATGTGGCGTTTTTCATGTGAACCTTCTTTTTTTTTTCTTTTTTTTTCTTTTTTTGTAAAAACATTTCATATGTGCTGACACACATTTTAACGAAGAAAGATCTTTTAGATCATTGTTTATCGTGAATACATACATATATATATATATATATATATATCCATTTGGTTTGACCGACGATTTCAAATCAGATTTGAAATTGATTTTGAAAATGTGCAATTAGTCGGACACAGTTTGTCCAATTTGTTTAACGTCGTGTCGCACGCTTATGAAACTGACTTTTAATTATATTTTTTTTTCTTTTTTTTTTCAAGAGTAATTTTTGATCAAAAACGCGTTATATGAATATCTATCTGTGAAGAGCAAGGGATCAAAGGATACGAAAAAAGAAAGAGTCACGAAAATTGGACAGAGTGATTTAACTCTCGGACTACGGGTGAATATTTGAATAACCGTACGAGTCACCCACAATGTTACGTTTTTATCGTTTAATACCTTGATCCCTATTGCCAGGTATCACGACCATTTCATACTAATTCCTTATGACTAGACTAGATCATGTTTTATATGTATATGTGTGTACTCGTGTAATATAGTTAGTCGTTAGTAGTGAATACAGTGTTTTCAGTCAGTCGCTAAATTGTCGATATTGCCGATCAACTTTTCTCGTCGCATATCACGCTCTCGACGCTTTCGCGGCTACATCAAATATATTTTTTTTTCCTATTAATTATTATTTGTATTTTTTTCTTTTTTCTTTTTTTCTTCTTCTTCTTCTTTTTTTTTTTTTATAATGAATAACAATTAATCTTTTTAAGTACGGTGTGCGTGAGTAACACGGAATATACGCACCACACACTCGCACGCGCACGTGTAAGAATAAAAACAGATAATAATACTGATATAACCGAATAATTTACGACACGAATTATTTTGTGTCTTATCATCAAATTATTTTTACAAATGCATTTGCAAGTGTCTTTTGATATTGTTCTTTTTATTTTTTGTTTTTTTTTACCTTTTTTTTTTTTATTTTTTAATAATAAAAATAAGATAACACAGTTGGTGATATGAAATTGAATCTAATAAGACAGCTTTATTTTTTATTTTTTTTTATTATTATTATTATTTATCGTCACGCAACGAAACAATCATAATGTATTATAGACTGATCAATTTCGTTTGTTTGTTTGTTTTTTCTTTCTTTCTTTTTCAATTTATTAAAAATTTTTGAAATAAAGTTAATGTTCGTCAAAAGATCGTGCAAATATGTTTGTACAATTATAATTATAGAAAATTTGGAGAAAAATCAATAAGAATGAAAATCAAACGTATAATATGATGAGCGAATGAAAATGGAGAAGAGAGTGAATAAATAAAAAAAAAAAAGGATTAATTAATGAACAAAAGTAAGATACGAATGAATTGTAAAAAAAAAAAAGAAAAGGGAACAAAATAATAGAATAGAAATGAATAATAAAAATGATAGATTGTAAAAAGAGTGCGTGAAAAAACGCGTGCGTGTGTTGATAACGATGGGATGACAAATTGACGATGCACAAATGCAAGAACCAAAGTAACAACAGAATACGAGCAAGTATTTTAAATTCATCTACTAAAAAAAAAATTAAAAAAAAAAAAAATGAAAAAAAAAAGATTGAAAAATCAATTAATTAACGCAGGATAATGTTGGATCAATTCATAAGACAATTTACAATACATGCTCGTTTCTGAAACGAAAAAACGATGACAAGTCAAACAAAACAAAAAAAAAACAAAAAAAAAAATAATCGATATAGAGCCGAGGATACGATATATGGTATTTTGAAAAACTTTAGGAAAGATTTGGATAAAGAAACAAATTGAACATGTGCGAGGACAGTGCACAGAATTTCATTTCTCGTAATGTGAAAACGAAGTTTATCATTTTATTCTTTAATTGATTGATAATTATGGAGGAGTAGGAAGAGGAAGAGGAAGAGGAGGAGGAGGAAGTTATGGGGGTTTAGAGAAGGCGTTTAATTAAAAGCTCACGATGATTATAATAAAGTCAAAGGATAATCTGAAGTATGCATGCAAATAAATAAACCAATAAATCAGGAAAGACATATCTGCTTTTCAATTGGGGAAATAAGATTAATCGTCGATGATTTGTATATTGAACGATGTTTTACAATCGTTCGTTACGACGATAACCAATTTTATCCGAAAAAATTCTCGTTTCGATCTTGTGCGTATAAATAATCTGCATCACAATCTATCTTCTCTCTATTCGAATATGAACAGAACATTATTTTTTTCGACAATAACGTTAACAAAATTACAAATCAATTATTTAACATTTCTTATTAGCAAGATTTTTGATATATTTAAATGAAAACAAAAAGAAAGTTTTATAAAATAATAAATAATAGTTTGATGAATTGACATATATAAATATATATACATATATATATATTTATCTACATCCTTCAGACGAGACGTTGGAAAAATCTATAAATCGATGATACGTCAGCAGTATTTATTTTGTCCCTTAAAGAAGATGACAAAGGATTGTTTTCTTTTTTTGTCCTTCTTACCTTGTCATATTAACCGATATCGTTAATTAGTCGAAAAAAATAATGAAGTTTCTCCATCGTATTATATCGGCACTCAGCAGTCGCGCGCCCCGTACTATTTTATACATACATAATAACGTGTATGCGGATACGTATTAATAACTTTCACTGTGTTCTACCATTAATAGTAACAATAATTGTGTATAGCCTTAATAGAGTAATAATGATTAATGACGGCAATAGTGATCGCGATAATAATTAATGATTATTAACGGTAACGTGATTATCAATGATCGTTCATACCTATAAATAGTACATATGATAAGGATTATTTAACGGTAGCGCGAATCGCAAAAAACGAGTAAACATTATGATAATAAAATTGTATATTGTAAGGAACTAGATTGTTCGTATTCTGGCTCGATATCTAAAAGTGTTTTTAAAACTTGCTGAATGTTGTTACTTCGTTGAAACGATTAACATTTTTATTTTTATTTATTTGAAAATTTTCTTCGAGAACGATGATGCGTGATCGATCGTCATCGTGTTATATCGTAATTAATATAATTATTTATACTCCCTTTACCGATTGACTCGGTTTTATGGTTACAGGGAGATTCGGAATGAGTATTATTATTATTATTATTATTAGATTATCGCGAAACAGATGGTACTTTTACCTCAGGCGTTAAAAAAATAATATAAATAAATAAATAAATAATATTTAAATAAAACGAGTCCCACCCTATTAAGCTTAAACAAATGAAATCAATCGCGCGTATAAAAATAAATCAATTACAGCCTTGGATGCCTTTTGATCGCATTATCCGTGCACGTTCAGAAACCAAGTCTATCGTACGAGCTACATTATTGCTTTTAATTCATGTTTTTTTTTTGTCTCTTTTTTTTTATTTATTTATTAATTGTATTCTTTATTTTTTTTTTTTTTTTTTTTTTTTTTAATATATATTTATTTGATCTTGCACGACGGGCCACGTTGTTCAATGAATTCATTCCTATTCGACACTTCTGTACCAAATTTTCTATTTACTGTGTGTGTGTGTTGTTGTTGTTTGTTTTTCTTTTTTTAAACAAGAAACAATATGAAATTGTCAGAGGAGAACTACGTGTGAAGTACTGTTCATGAAAACTTTTCATGTCATATTAAAAGTGAAAACGTGACGAATATAGTATAAAAACTAGGCACGATGAAAGATGAAACAAATTTTTAAACGTGTTTTATTCAAGTTTGTCGAAAATACCTTTAATTCTTCCTTTCATTCATTTCTTTCTTTCTTTCTTTTGACACGTTTTATTTAAAAGACTCGGTTCAATCATCAATCCAAAACTTTACCCATATGTTTCTCATATACAGACCAACTATTTGAGCATATCGATTCTTCTATGAAACCATTTCCAGTGTTTGTCACCAATAATACGCTTTAAATTACAAGAGACAAATTCCACAAGACCTTTTAATTATCCTAATACGAATATTAAGGAAATAGTAATAAAAGTATACATTATTTATACATTGTTTTCTCATAACCGAAGTAGAAAACAAGATCCGATATATCTATACTCGGTTGTTGAAATATTTTAACCAGAGACACTCCCTGCGATGATTGTCGACCTCTAAAACTTAAAACGATAGAGAGTTAAATTGTCATTCTCTGACAACCAGGGACGAGCGTCTGAAGAAAAGATTAACCATCACCAACCAACCTCTTGTGTATCCGTTTCATATTATAATTAAATATATATATATATATGTATATATATATACCCTTAAAGCCCTAAGTCCTGTTTTCATTTTTCTTTTTATTTTGCATCTCTACTAATCTCATTTTTTTTTTCTTCAACGTTATACAATACATGACTAGAATAGCATTGCGCGAGTATCGTTCCTTTAAATATATCACATATCCACCCCGCGATCACGAGTTATCACGTTTCTTATGGATATTAAATGCATACTACGAAATCACCTACAAATCGGCAACTCTAAGTATGATAATAAATATCAAAGTAAATCGGATCTCTAAAAATGTGTAACGATCATTTCATATACATATATATGAATATATATATATATATACATATACAGATTGTCCGAAAAGTTGGGACCGAACTTATACTACGTATTACTAACATCAAACAGATGAATAAAGTTCATATAAGTTTGTGTCCGAAAATGTTACATTGAAAAGATATATACTTTAAAAGATATTTATATTTTAATGTGTAATGTAGGTTTCCATTCATCGAATTAGTAATTGGCAAACTCTTTCAAATATTCCGACTGCATTAGTTGTTGTAAAATTCTTTACTACTAATCGTAAAACGAATTTTGACCATAAATCTATGAATGTTCATGTCTTTTCAATAAAACATTTTCGGACATAAGTTTACATGAACTTTTTTCATCTATTTGACTTCAGTAATATCTAATATAAGTTTGGTCTCAATCTTTTTGGACATCCTATATACATATATAATATGTATAGCTAACGATATTATTAAACTTTTTTTCCGGTTTAGAAGTAGATTTCTTTTTTTTATTTCTTGCTCTTTTCTTTTCATACGAAATGATCCTTTCGATTTTTTCTAATCACTTAGATTCCACCAATAGAACGGTACGTGTAAGAAAAGATCACTATCAATTCGTCGAGTGCGTCAATTCCCAATAATCAGAAATATTTAACTTCGAATTTTCCGTTACGTCGATGAATAAGTTTCGTAATCTATGTAATCGCTTAAAGGCAAATACATTTTAAAGTCGAGCCATTGTTCCATTGGCGTATTTCAGAGTTCGTCATCTTCCTTGGACAATTCACGATGTTGCTGACAACTTTGTTCCTGTTCTTTATCGTCCTTACTTTCCGAGTACTCGTCATCTTCATCCTCGTCTTCGTATACGTCAATACTATGAGACTCAGTGAAAAGTGGTGGTGGAATTGTTGTTACATCGAAGCTGGAATCAGTACTTGAAACAATTTGACCATCCTTGATTTTAAAATCAACAGCTACACGATGTCTCCTTTTCGTATTCTGCTGTCTTTTACGACGAAAAGCGCGCTGGCCTCTGTCAGGCGTATGAGCAGGACTGTCCATACTGGAAGAAGTGTCACCTTCACTTTGTGGACTTCTACTTGAGGAATAAGGCATAGTTTTAGTTCGGATTTGCATTCTAGCCTGCATTGGTGGACTGGAAGTGGTTGACTCCCCGCTAAGACTTGTTGTCGAATAATATGGCGTTGATTTAGCTCTTATAGGTACGAGAACTGGTCTTTCGGTGGATCTTGTACCGTGATATCTTTTATTTTCCTCCCTCGAGCAGGGCTCCGAGTAACCTCGCTCGATCTTTTTTCTAATTGATCTTTCATCACATGTAACAACATCACGATGCTCATCCATTGACCATTCGTTCTTGTCTAATCTCGTTCTTAAAGCTAAATCAGCATATTTTTCATGCATGTCTTCGGAACTATCTCCACGAGCAACGTCCATTCTGATTTGATCGCCACTGGAATATTTCATAGCCGGTACATTGTCATATAATTGATCTTCATCCTCCTCTGGAATAGGAAGAGGAACGTCGGTGATACCCATGTCGACCACCTCAGGATCCAAACGGAAGTCTTCCTCATCCAAAGTCTCGTCATATTCATTTTGAAAGGTGATACGAGGTGGCGAGATATCAGTAAAACCTGAACGACCACGACGCTGTTGGTTATCATCATAACGACAAAGACGACGTTGTTGGTCGAACTGAGATTCGATAAATTTCCTGGCTTCATCAAAGTCGTCCCTACTCATTCGAATAGGCTCGCCCTCATCATCGCCCCGTACAGACGTGGTAGGAATAACAGCAGATGAAAGAATAGAAATGAAGGATTCATCGATGTCACTGACATTATCATCAGCCGTATCCTCTCTACGATTTGATTCGTTTTTGTCTTCCGCTGGCGGTGGAGGTGGAGGCGGTGGAGGAGGTGGAGGTAAAGGGGGTGGTGGAGATGGAGGTGGCAGGGGAGGACTTTCAGCTGACTGACATTTTGAATTCGGTCGCATACTAGTTATGCTCTTGTCTGATGTCGTTGTGTCACTTTGACTCTTTTCTACCGTCGTCGTCGTAGTGTAATACTGCTGTGGTATGACAGTCGTACTACCTGACCAGTCAGAGATAGAAGCTCCAAGTTCTGCTAAAGAATTATCATCGGATTTCGTACCAGAATATTGACAGAACTGCTGTACAGTGTTGTTAGAACTAGACCATTCGGACATCGATAAACCCATAGATGTGTCTTCACTATGAGAGGAGCCTGTTATGTAGGAATTCGATTTCGGTTTAACAGCTATTTTCACAGTTCCATCGACCGTCGTCGCCGACGTTGAACTTTGCCCATCTTCTAGAAGAGTAGAATGTAAATCTTCATGAAGAGTCCTATTTTCATCGCTCGAGTCGCTGTCATGTCCAATGTAACCTGGAGTTTCTGTAGTACTGTCCGTTACTGTTACCTTGACAGCTTCCTCCGGCTTGATTTCCATATAAAAAGTTTCTACATGACTCACCACCGGAGTATCAAAGAGTGGTGAACTAGGTGGCGAGGGCCAATCTTCCGAACTCTGTAATTGCAATTTCGATTTTCTCGTCTTTGGTGACTTGGAATCTTCCTCTTGTGTACCCATTACATCTATAGGAATATCTGGAAGCTCGGCGGACGTTCTACGATCGTCCGACATGGAAGGCAAGGCTGTACCCGAGGGAGGGTCTGACGATAACGAAGGTTGATGATCGCTTGAAATTAAAGATTCGTCATCAAGACTTGGAGATCTCGAACTAGGTTTGAATGAATCCTCCAGGTCACTCTTATCTTGCTCGGAAGTAGTTGATCGCTCCGAAATTCGTGAAAGTGTTCTTGATAAAGAAAAGGCACCGTAACTTGCAAGAATCTCTGGCCCAATAGGATAAATGAAACCACCTGGAACATCGACCAGATCTTCTTGAAAACTCTCCTCATTCTGTCCATTACTATCCTCAGAATGCGACTGTTGAGCGTTGTTGTCATCTTGAGGAACCCAACCATCCTCTAAACTCGAACTACCGGAGCTTTCTAATGGAAACGGTTTCCATGTTGAGCTCATTTCTAATTTTGGTGCTGGTAGAGAACTACTACTGTCTTCTTCTAAAGACTCCTCCTTACGTATTTCCTTCACTTGTTCAATCTCTCGGCGATCGACTATCGATTGAATTTGGCCTATTCCCAAAGGACGAGCGATCGAGCAGGAACTTGAGTCAGCATCCTCTCTATCGGGAGTCCATGTATTTGTGTCCTCGCTTTTGGAACGCTCGGTGCTGAGTCTGAATTTTTTATCGGCTACAAAACGCTCGACAACTGGGCTTTCTTCCTCGAGCATTTCCTTAGTTGATTCATCTTCTGGCAATTCTTCGGTATCTTCCTCATCATCTTTTCTCATTTCTAAATATTCCGGAGTTAACTCAACTTCGACCAATGTTTTTTCATCCATTTTATCGACACCATAATCCGGTGAACTAAGCTCGCTATCAGCACCTCGCATTTGTACTTGGGTGTCTAGTGCATCGAGCGTATCCTCACTCGTATCAGCAGAATCTAATGGTCGCATATCATCCCCATCACCTCTAACAGACTCCCGATCTTCCATTTCTTCATCTTGTTCGTCGCTCTCAAGAAGCTCTTCATCCGAACACTCCTCAATCGAAATTTGTATTGGTGATTTAACCATGTTTAATCCTTCGTCATAGTCATTAAGTGACGAGTAAGCATCTCCGTAGTCGTGAATTACTTTAACAGTTACATTGGAAAATTCATCTTCGGGTGAATCTTTTTGACCGACTTCATCGATATCTTGCGATGTTTCAGTTTGATGTTGAGGACTCGCCTTTGGCTCAGTGATCTTTCTATCGAAATCTTTTATTTCTTCGCTCAGTTTTTCTATTTGAGGTTCAACGCTCTGTTTCGAAGTACTTTCAGATAATTCAGGAGTTATAGGTTTAATAATTAACTTTGAAATATTAATAACGTCAGTCTGCTCCACTAGATCACCCTTAGCGTAACCTACTAAGTCTTGTTCATTAGCAGATTCGACGGAACTTTGATCGATGAATTTCGTATTTTCGTCAATTTTGACGATTTCGACCATACTCGCTGTTTCTTTACCAGTTCCTTGTTCTAAGAACGGTAATTGCGTTCCTTCTTGTTCGTATGGAATTAAATCGGCACATGTAGCTATTTCATTGCATTCTGTTAACGGCGATTCTAAATATTGCGCGGAAGTTTCTGTCACGGACAAAGAATCTGTACAAATTTCAGGAACAGTCGTGTGATCGGTACTGTCAGATCTATAATTCGGGGAAGTTTCTATCTGGATCGATTGTGGTTTGGATATTATGTTGTTACCAACGCTTTCCTCGGCTACATTATCTTGATTTTCAATGCCTTCAGACATATCAACCGTATCGTCTTTACTAGAAAATGCGTTAGCCGGTGGAAGTCTATGAACGGAAATGACAGGAGCATCTAAAGATTTGGCACGTCTTTGCGCAGTTGGTGATTGTGTTGCACTTTGACGTTGCAACGCACCAATACCACTACCCTCAGACAAGCCAAGACGTGCACGTGCGAAAAGTATAGGACTTTGTCCCCGTTTACGTAGTACTATAGGAGATTCTGTTAAATCTTGCATGAATGGAGATTTCTTAACCTCTTTAGCCGCATCTCGTTTCGATTCTAAGGTCTGATCAACTTCGGTGTCATGCTCTTTATCTTTCTGTTCAATCTCTTGTTTACCTTCACTTGTTATTTCACCTTCTAAATCAGTTTTAGCTTCTCCCTTCGGTTGCGTAGTTTTTAATTCATATTTAATACTGACATCTTTCGTGACAATAGCTTTACTATCACTTTTGATATCTACTTTAACAGTACTCTTTGCCTTCTTTGGAGATACTTTTTCAACGGAATCTTTCTTTTCTGTACTTCCTAAACTCTTAGATATACCCAAAGATTTGGGTCTTACTTTGTCACTTTTAATTGGAGGACCTTTGATCAATTCGTCATCTACCGAAGCTGATTTTCCACGTGTGCTTTTCGTATCATCTTTTTCTTCTTTCGAACTTGAAAATGGTTTGTCGGATAGTCTCGTAACGGACTTTGATCTACCCTTTTGCACGATACTAACCTCCGGCACTACGTCCGTTGAATCGATTATTATTATTTCCTGAGGCATCTCTCCGAGCTTCAATTTAGATTTATCGATTCTAGAACTGGTCGTCGGTGTTTTTACTTCTTTGGATGCAGTTTTCTTCAATGGCGGTTTATCTCCTTCCAAGGATTTCGATTGCTTCTTAAAATCTTTTTTTATCTCTGATTTAGCTTTCTTAGCTCGTTTCGGCGATATATCTTGAATTATATGCTTGTTTTCTACTTCAGGTGACAGTAAAGTATCTATTGGTGCCTTTTCTTCAGCCAATGACAACGATTTAGATCTTAATGGTTCAGCATGAGGTCGAAGCATAAACGGGACGAATTCTGGTACCTTCAAACTATCTAATTCCAATGCAGGTTTAACGGGTACTTCGTCTAAAGGTAAGTCTGCTACTGGTTCGACAAAATCATCAAATCCGGTATCAATGATCTTAGGCCTTGGTACCTTAGTAGTAGAATTTTTATTGGCTTCAGAAAACTTCGATTCTATACGTTCTAATATACGTTTTGTTTTTTCAGGAATACTTGGTTTCTCTAATGATTTTGGCTTAGCTGGAACTTTAGGTTTTTCATCAATCACTTCAGCTTTTCTAATGGGTGAACTTTCACTTTTCTTACAAATATCCTTACTGCCAGCAGATTCTATTTTATTTTCCTTATCGTCAACCATTACTGAACCTTCCTCGATCGTCTTCGCCATTTCCTCTACCAATACTTCCTCTTGTTTAATAGTTATTTGTTTGTCTTCTGTTGTAATTGTAACTGGATTAGGAATATCAGGTAAAGGTATCTTTTCTATACTATCCTGTTTTTCCAAACTATCGTCCGGTGTTTTAAGACTATCCTTTGGGGATTTCACCTCCTTCGAAACTTCGACTTTATGTTCTAATTTAGATTTTATTTCTAGATTAGTAGGCTTTGGAGCCTTGGTAGGACTTTTTGAATGTGCATCCGGTGATCTCTTTTTCTGTATTACTGAAATTATTGTTACATTAGGATCCGTAGGTGATATCTTAGGTGATCGCTTTTCTATACTTGAAATGATAGTAATATTTGGCTCAACTGGAGATAGTTTCGATGGCTTCTTATCCAAACTGGATGATTTAATACATATCCGCTCGTCAAGACCCATTTCTGTTCTTCCTTTATCTAATGACATTGCTTTCTTCGGAGATTTATCTGGCGATCTTGAACTTACTTTCGAAGGGCTTCTATTAGGTGATAAACTACAAACGATACTCTTTGAGTCGGTCGGTGAAAGTTTTGAAGTTGGACTTAAAATACTTTTCGGTTTGTCTGAAGGACTTAATATCGACTTTGGTCTAGTAGGACTAATAGAATTTTTGATTTTATCTGGCGATAACTTATGACCCGGTTTATCTATGGACGTAAGTTTCGATAGATCGAAGCAGGAAGTATCGGTTACCATTTTTAAAGGTAATTTTGGTAAATCTTTGATAATACTCTTGGAGTTCTTCGAAGTTTTACTACTATCAGACTCAGATTTTTCGTCAGAAGCAGTTCCATTCATAACATGACGTTTGTGTAATGTGTAAGGAATATCGATATTAGACTTTTGAATAATTACTCCATCCGAAAATGGATCTTCATCTCCAGAATCGGCAGGTGTTAAATCTATAGATTTTTGATGCATTAACATGTGACGTTTACTATTTGAACCTAATCTTTGACGTGCCGGATTAGGATCACTCTTTGTACGTTCTACGGGAGTATGACCAGGTATGGTTTCATCGAATCCTAGTACAACACCACCGATAACCTTAGGTTCATATTCGGTGAAGACAGTCTTAGACTTGAAATTGTCCATTTCGTGAGGTACACCAATAACGGTATCTGTTCGAGACTCTAACGATAATTTTGCTTGACGTTCTCGTTCACGACGTTCATTGTCCTTCCGTGCTTTTTCTAAACTCTTCCAATCATCTCGTTCACGAGGTTTTTCCTCAGATTTATATTTATCTAATTTACCTTTACTCTTTCTCCCAGATTTCGAATCAATCTTATCTAAACTTCTTTTCCAATCCAAGCTTTCATAATCCAAACACTCAAGACTCTTACCCTCACGCGAATCTAATTTATTTAAATACTTACGTTCGCCAGCGTCTAATTTTTCTAAACTTTTACGTTCCAAATTCTTCAACTCACCTTTTCTATCATGACTTCTACTATATCTTACTTCCGAACGATCAGTAAAACTTCGTTCTAACGATCTCAAACGTTCAATCGTTCTCGGATCAAAATCGAATGTTGGTTTATCCTGAGAATTGAGCCTCTCGACACTCTTACCGCGTTGCTCTTTTGACGAAAGCCGTTCGAACGGACTTTTATTACCAGAATCAAAACGTTCTAACGTATGTCTTTGATTATAATCAAAGGAAGAAGTTCTACCGCTCGAACTCTTTCTAGTTTCACGCAATTCGATACGATCAACACTTTTCCTACGTTCTCTCGACTCCGCGTAACGATAAACGTTTCGTTCTTTAGGACTTCTTGTCAGATGTTCCACACTACTGCGTAACCCGTGAGAATCTAAACGTTCGGCACTCTTACCCCTAGTTTCATAAAAGTCAGCATAAACTACAGAACCTTTCTCTTTCAAATCTAAACGTTCAAAACTTCGATCCCTATCCAACCGTTCGATACTTCTACGTAACTCTTTAGTATCATTACGATCTACGCTACGTCTATCGAGTCTTCGTTCACGTGAATCAAGACGATCTATCGATCTCCTTTCCTTAGAATCGATCTTTTCAATTCTTTTACATTCTCTCGAATATTCCCTCTCGGCCCGTTTTTTCTCCTCCCTTTCAATACTTTTACGTTCCTTTTCTTGAATCTTTGAGATTACTTTTTCAGACTTTTCCTCAATATCTTTAGTCTTTTTATCTCTAGATTTATAACCACGTCCTAAACTACTCGTCTCATCGTACGAACGTGGTACGTGATCCTCCAAACTGGCGATACTTCGCGCCCTTACTGTTCTCGCTTTTGTGCTATAATCAACTTTACCGGTATCGACGGGACTCAAGTCATCATCGATTCTTGATTTTGGACGCATAATACCCTCGTCCCGTAAAATTTCCGAATCAACGTGAGTGATCTTATATTTCGGCTTTAAATTCTTCAACTCGTTAAGAACTGTAGCCTTTTGCTTTTGAACTTGTAAAACGACAGGATCCTTTCGACTGGAATCTTGATGAGGAATGGGAGTTTTACTAGGTTGTTCTATGGAAGCAGCGTGTCTAGTTTCAAATTTACGTTCTATTTGTGTATTCGACCGTTGTATCCTAGACTCGGTAATAACGTAATCACCGTCCGCCTTGGTTACAGCTGAGTACCGATCGATGGATTTTGTTTTGGTATTTTTAAGATCCGCGAGCACGGATTTAAATAGCTGTTTATCCGAAGGCTTAACTGATCTATGTTTGACAAAAGAATCGGTTTCCGAATCTATTTGGAACATTTCGTGTTCGATTCCTTCGTCACTATTGTCGGACAGAGGTTCGTTATCCTCGTGAGCACTGGAATAAGACTCAGGATATTCAAATTCGTGCTCACGTTCCAAAAGCTCATAAGAATCATGCGAAAGATCATCATGTGAAAGATCTCCAGCTGGGCCAGATTCTTCGTGACCTGATTCGGTAGATAACGACGATGTTCCTGGATAGGAGCTACTATAAACACGTTCGGGTACGGAATCGTGATCTAAGGAAGGTAATTTCGAACTAGCGGCACTATACGAACGATTAGTATCGTCGTAACGCGTTACTGGATTATCTAATTCGCCCTGAGAGGGTAATTGGAAGGGCTCTAAAACAGGTTCACCACTATTTGTTTGATCCTTTGGACGCGCCTTGCCAGAATCTTCGAAGCTAGATGCATACAATTCGCGACAACTGGCAGATCGTTGCCAAGGATGCCTAGGTATAGGTCGCGGTGCTGGGAATTCGGGAGGACTGCTGTTAGAGGGGCTGATACGACCTGCTGATGAAATCCGTTGCTGATTGGTAGCAAGCGTCTGCCGCTGTGCTGGAGCCTGGCTGGGGGTGGCTGGCGAATGGACGTCGATAGAGGTGAGCGTCCGAAACGATGTAGCTGTGTCGTCGCGACGGTGAATCGTCCCTCCCATCGAGACACTCGTCACAGTCGTCGGAGAATCCAGTGTCATCGAGCCGCATGACAGAGACAGAGCTGGGGTTGCCAGGGCTAAACATTCATTAGTAATATACATATATATATATAACATACATACAACATTAATCTCTCATAAACCAGAGTGCATTATGATAATGTAAATCCTTTCAATATATACATATATTTATTAGCGTTAAATTGTATAATTCAGTTCAATCGTGGAAACCCTAGGCTTTACTTGAAATAATTAGAAGTTTTTAGAAAAGCATATAAAAAGAATTTTATTATACACTAAAACTAGTAATTTTAGAAAATAATGAGATTATATATGTAATTCTGTTTTCTTTCATATTTAACACATTTACATATGAACACCACGCGAATTCTAGGCCGTGTCAGTCACCAGTGACAACACAAGTCACAGTTCAACTGTTCTTTCAATACAAATACAAACGCCCATAGCCTGACGGGGATTTCTTTAAAAATTCGCTTGGCGTTCAACATATTAAAACAGGTCAGTGTAGTTATTTTAAAGTTTAGCTAGTCATTTCATGAATTAACAAATTTCACAAAATAAGGCCATATATATATATATATATATATATATATGATATATATATCACACATATATATGATTATAGTGTAAATCGTGTATAACAAAACCGAAACTATGTTTCATAATTTCATATATCATTTCGAAAATGAATAATGCATCATAATAAATAATGAAAATAATTCTAATACAATTTCTTTCATTTTTGTGTATAGTTTCGAAAAGCTTCCTATATATAATACGCTAATCTACTCTACCGTTACAATACTTCGAATACAATACTGCGAAATAAATATAAAGAAAATTTGAGGAAGGAGATAAAGAAGAAGACTAAAAAAAGGCACAGAAATAGAAAGAAAGCTGTTCTGGAGGTTGGTATCGGTCATGGTACATACCAGGATCGCCGAGGGGCAGGAGGGGGTGGGCAGAGATGCTGGAGCTGCCCATAAGTGAGCTGCTCGGAGTGGCCCCACGATAGCCTCCCCCCTCCGAGCCCTGCAATGCCCTACCACCGCTAGTCTGCCGGAACGAATTGGACCTGCGAGCAAGAGAGAGTCAAGTTCAGCATCAGACTTAGGCTACGAAATGCCAAGCCTGCTCAATTTATCTGTTCTTTTCTCTTATTAATGCAATAGGCTAATATATAACATTGTCTTTCTTCAAGAGAGAAAAAATATATTTTAATATAAATCTGCTCTAAATGTCAGTGCTGAAATATAAATAATCTAATCATTAATTGAAAAAAGAATTACTGCTCCAACGCGTGTTTGATATGATACACGGTCAATGTCGCCATTATAATTTCTATTTCGTATGTGATTAATAAATCATATAAAATAGATAAAGGTTACAGTTGAATGAAATAATAGAACTGAATAAGTTACTATAATAATAATAATAATAATAATAATAATTTAGAAAAAACTGACCCTTTTTTAATAAAATGTTTTATGCTATTATATTTAATTATAATATGTCAGTAAAGCGTTTCATTGTGGAGTAGTTTCTTACATGTATAATTAAGTAATGTAACACATAAAAGAATCGAATATGGATAGATATTTGTATATATACCTCAATAGTATATAATAGTATTCTCTAAAGTCGGCAGATTTAATTTCCTATATATTTTCGTTATAAAAAAACTAACAATATAAAAAAGAAATAAGTAATACATAAGATGCATAAATACATGCTATTTGTTTTGGAATAAATCTTTTGCTTTTTCTGACAGAGAGTCTAAATGTTCAGACGTAAGTGCTCATACCATCACAGTTTAAATTCATATAAATATGATCTTTCAACGCAATGCAAACCCTTCTATACTATATCTTTATATCTTGAAGTATAATACTTAATTTTAAATGTTAAATGAATATTAAGCTATAACAATTGACAATCTCTCTATACACTGTTTAAAAAAAAAAAAGAACTATTGAAACGTTAAAATATTACATAAGAATTATTGAACTTTTAACTCATTCAGTTTATAGCTCATTCAGTATAACTTTACTACTAACAAGTATTATACCTTATTATATGAATAATAGATATATTCATTATATATTAAATAAGAAGATTAATTTCTGTTTAATTTGATATTGATATAAGATGATTATTATGATATTAAACTAATTATTAATTTACAATTTCTTCTGCTAATACTAGCGGCGTTTCTTAACCGTGCATCGATATCGCACGGTATGTTAACACTCGCCGGTTGTATATACAAGGATAAAGTGTCAATAAAATAGCAGACTATTTTTTGTTGTAGAATAGACTACTGCTATGGACGAGTATAATGCTGGTTAAAACCGCCAGGACAGTGAAATGTAATACTCTGCAGTATATATTTTGAGGTTACAATGATAAATTAGTAATCACACTATTGAGAAAGGGTACACTGATCATTCGGGTTCAATCGTGCCTGATGGTGAGCCTGACTCCCCGCCACCCTGCCAAGCAGGCAACACTGACAAACGTAAATGTAAAAAAGGAACACAGTAGATCATTTATTCTACAGAAAGTGGAATAATTAGGTATATATACCAATTAATATCCCGGTAAAAGCAAGACCGTGCCACCTCCTATCTTATTCACAAGATTGGTGCGTTGGTTAATAAAAATCTTAAGGTTACAAACTAACATTAGGAAAACAATATACAACGGCATGCAGCACTATCTACGAATTACTTGGATTTTTGTCAATGTTTTCTTTTAAATTAGCTAACTTACTATATAAAGCATCAATAAACTTACCTTTGGAATGTCTGTCTCTTCACATAATTGTCACGAACAAATTCAACTATTTGCTTTTGTGTCTTTCCACTATATCTGATAACATAAGGATATTCATATAAAATATTTAATATTCAATTTCAAATAATATGCTATATAATAATTCATATATTGTTTTACTTTTTTCAATTAAATTAAATATTATATGATTCAACACATTTAACTGTACCTGAAGGATGAACCTCGACTAAGAACTCTTGTTTTTTGTCGTACTACATGTTTGACTACAGAACAACGGAAAAAGCCATGATTTTCAACACATTTTTTCCAAAAGTTCTTGCATTCATTACGACCCTCGAAAAAGAATTCGACCGTATCCTTATAATATCCCTAAAATGATAAAAAATAATATTATTTAACAATATACTAAGAATACCTTATTCAATTATTTTGATAGAAAAATAACTAATTTAAGAATAAAGCGTCAAAAAAAAAAAAGATATACTTACGTATCCTTCAGGATGTAGTTTAATCAAAAATCGTTTTCGTTTAAAACTAATTTTTCTGATCTTAGCCCAACTAAATGTATTTATCTTGGTATAATTTTGAAAAACGACTATTCCCATGTGAGCTACTGCCAAATTCAATGATACTCTTTCGTGATCCTAATGAAAATATCATACAGTACTTATTATCATCGCAAATAAACTATAGTAAAAACGTTCAATGTTCTCACTTTAGCTGGATGCATTTTCATTCCATAAAGTTCACATCGTCGTGCTGTTTCTAAAAGATTAAGGTCAGCCTCTGCAGGAGATTGTCCACTGTAAAGATCAATTTATTTTTTTTTATGAATTAATTACATTTTTACTTATTTATATAGACATATGTTAGAATTAATAAATTCAAACAAATATTCATATCACTTACGCATGTTTTTTATGATTCTCCATGATACGTCGCTCTAATTCTTGATCTTGATGAGGCACAAACTTGTATGTTGATAAATAAGTGTGATCTGGATAATCCTCTATAACATAATCACCACACTCAGCTGAAATTAAAGAAATATTTTATAATTATTTTAAAAAAATAATCTATAGTGATATTATTATGATATATTTTAGCATTACTTACCTTGTACAATATAGCTAGCCATCAAAGCTGCTGTATTATCATTGCATTGTAATAAACCTTGAGCCAAATCTCGTTTGATTTGTAAACAGAATAAATATCTTGTAAACTCCTCTTCAAGTTGTGCAGGATCTGGTGTATAAAATTTAACGCAAAATCTGAGAAGAGGATCAACCAATGATAATCCCACTTGTCTACAGACTGGTTTTTCTAAATCTAACCAATACTGTAAACAACAAATTATACATAAATAATTCAAGTTAATTGTATGAAATAAACTATATTAATGTATCAACTGTATAACTAACTTTTGTCCCATTAGGTTCTTGATATTCAAGACCAAAATAATCAGCTTCTAAAAGATGTAATTGTTTGCAAACTTGATCAAACAATACTCTACCTAATGCTTTTGCCTGAAATAAATAAAATACATGTATAAATATAACAACACATTGTTACAAATATAAATACAAAATTATTAGATATTAATGGATATTTAAATAAAAATAAAATTATCTTAACATATTATACATTGTAAGTTATATAAAGAATCAATAAATTGATACATATTCCTTTTATCCATGAGCTTGTATGTGTGCTTGATATATATATATATATGTATTTACCGATACATTTTATGTGCTCCAATAGTTCATTCTTGTGGAAATATTATGTATGCATACAGTACACGATGTCACTAATATACAATATGAAGAAAAAATATAAAAATACTATTACTAAAGTTTAACAAAGTGATTTATTATACTAATAACAAGTGAATTTATAAAAAATAATTTTATAATATTGATAATAAAATAATGGTATTTTTCAAAATGAAGAATATATTTTTTTTTTTTTTTAATTATTTATCTTTTATCCAAGAAATATATAAAACATGTACATACATAATAACATTGAAAAAATGATTGTTCTTCTTATATTAAAAAGTAATAAGAGTAATAGTAAAAAAAAATAGTATTCTCTCTTTAGAATAAAATATAAATCTTTCAATTTTATAGTTTAACTATTATAATTGTAATATAATTTTCACACCAATCAAATTTTTATTACCTTTATATCCAATTACACCTTCTATTACACAACCGTTTATGTTTATTAAACTTCCTATTGAAAGAGCACTTCAATTATCTTCTATCAAGGAATTAAAATGATACTCTGATTCGTTCGAAGGATATTATAATTTAGCAGGAATGCTTACAAAGTGTAATGTTAAATTGAAATTTGTATATATATATATATATATATATATATATAAGAAATTAAATTGATGTTTTTCTATAGCATTCAATGAAAATATTAACTTATTGTGTTTTTATTATCATCTCATTTTATACACATTTCTTTATAAAAAGCAAGCAAACAAATATTTTCAATTATTACCTGTACTTGAAACATTGTAATAGTATCATCCAACATTTGTACACGAACTGCAAGCATTTTCCCTGCTTTCCTGGGTGTTATTGGTGGTGTTCGACTACCTCCATCAACACCGGCTGGAGTTGAATGACTATGAGGCATTTTGGAACCTCCACTGCCCTTCATACTCATGCTGTCTATATCATTCATTTTCGCTCATTTATGCTATTATTTATAGCAATACTTAACATTTGCTTCTTTCAAAAAGCCTTACACAACTATTTAGAATTAAGTAGTCATCTGTAAATAAATAATTTCATTTAATGGAAAATAAAAATGATTAATTATCATATGTCACAATGTAGCAGATGTCAATAAATATTCTTCATGATTTTTAATTCCTTAAGAATAAAAATTACATGACATTATAAACTAAATAGTTAGATAAATAATTATTTATTTGATAGTTTGCAAGCTTATATATTTGCAAATTTATTAAAAAAAAAAATAATAATGAAGAACAATATTTAAGTATTTTTCAAGATATATATGAGATTTCGATTATCGAATTAAATATTTACATAATAACGAAGTAACGGATTATAAGAAAATATGTATATATATGTATATATATATATATCCTCCTTTTAAATATTTTTGTCCCCTTTAAATATATATATATATATATACGAACGACGATTATCGTTATTTAGGACATACGAGTAGTTAATTATTCTTAATAAAAAGATAAAATAAATTGACGAAGATCAACAAGGATAGAAAGGCATTCGTTTAACTAACGATGTAATGCGAAGGGTAGGGTCATGTAAATACGAATCCATATTATATAGAGAATATGTGCGTATAGTCAGGATAGAAAGTAACGCTATTGGTTGTACAGTTAGTAAAAAAAAAAAAAGAAAAAGAAAAAAGAAATCCAATGAAGAAAGGTTATCGGCGTGAATATGCGCGTCGGAAAAAATTTCATAAGAAGGAAATACCGCTTTTAGGAAGGCGGGGCGGCAATCAACTAGAATCTTTAAGAGGTTCCATTTGTAATATAGATTATATTGCATTAATATGTGCTTGTTAGTACATACGTTGTCGTCGATCCTTCAGATATGTACACTGACTGTATTAGCCAAAATACAGTGCAAGTAGAGTTCATTGATCACTGACTACCAAGTGCCCACCGGCACTCTTGCGCTGAGATCGTCCTCGGGATGGATATGGCGACGACGTTTGACAAAGGTTCACTAATGTATAAATAATCGTACTATGATAGTCGGGTTTTTCTGCGCAATGAATATTATTATTCGAGCGCGCTCGACTGTAAGCCGAGAAAATCTTTGAATTTAACCACATATCACACATCTACGCCTTGCACTTCTATCTTTTTTGTTTAAGTGTATACCAGTTGTGTATGAAGAAAAGCAGTGGCTCTCAATTCGAGCACCGCTTAAATTTTTCATTAACGGCTCATCGTCATTACCGTGGGTATACACACAATAACGTTCTTGAGCAAAACGCATTTCTAGCGATTACCGAGGGCGCGTCCACCGGGCGCGACTATGCGTCACAAAGGGCAGCGCAGGGCGGTGGCGGTATCACTGTAACGAGGGGTAAGACGATTACGCAACGGAAGTAGATACTAGTGACATCAACGAGAGGATGCAGCAACTTCTAACGAATTCATATATGTTCACACGAATCTTAGAAATTGGAATAACACTGAATAACTTATTATTGAATGACACTTAATTATTAAATACATAAATAGATATTCGATATATCATAAATATATATTTATATTTTAATATTATTCAAAATGTTTATGTAGTTTGACCACCAGATGGCGCATACAGCTACAAACTCTTATCTATATGATTGTAGTATATCTAGAATGTGTATCTATTTTAAAATGCAAGTAAATATCAACTAACTTGACAGTTAGTTGTTTTCTACAACAGATCAATAATAAAATTTCTTAAAACATATGTCATGTAATAATAATACAAAATATTATTATTAAAATTCTTGTTATAAGTAACTTATATTAGTTTATTATTCAACGTATTCATTATATTCATTATTTTAGCCAAAAATGTCAGATGAAGAGGATACTACTATACTATTGAATCATGGAAATAACAATATTGAATCAATAGTAAATAAGCCAGTAAACGAAGATTATCAATGTATTCTTGAAAGAAATATCAAAAAACAAATTCCTAAACAAAATGATAATTTAACACCATTGCAAAGTATAATGCCAAAGAATAAAAATATTTTAATTTCAATGGTTGCACTCTTAGCTGGTATAGCATTTGGTTGCGATATGTCTATAATAAAACCAATGGCACCTTTTATCAAAAGTGAATTTGAATTAAATTGCTTTGAAATAAATCTTCTTATTGGTATTTGGTTTATAGGTGTTTTATTTGGAGGATTAACTGGTGGTAAATATAATATTTGCATTATATAGTCAATTATATTATATATATTTTATTATTAGTTTTATTTATTATTTATTTATAGGCATGGCAATAGATTCTTTTGGCAGACGTTGGACAATGATAATAATGCTGATGTTTTTAATATTTGGTACCCTTTTAACCGCACTAGTCAATCATTATGTTTTGCTATTAATTTCTCGTATCATTTGTGGCTACTCTAGTACAGTATCTACAGTATCCCATTGCATATATATGGCAGAAGTATCAGAGACAAATAAACGAGGATTTAACATTATATTGTATCAATTAGGTGCAGCTGTAGGATTTTTAATAACTATTATTGCTACTATTTTCATAACTTTGGATCATCAATGGCGATTTTCTCTAAGCATAACTATTGTCTCTGCGTTAATAGCTTGCACTACTACTGTCCTATTTCTTCAGAAATCTCCACCATTTTTGTTGTTAAAAAAAACAAAGAATGTTATTTCTAAAACAACGTCTAAAAATACAAAACATACAATTTTTGAAATGTTGTCAATCATGATTTTTATGATGATTTTACAACAAGGAACTGGTAGAGAACAAGTTTTATATTATGCACCAAGATTGTTTGTTCTTTTAGGAATCCGTTCAAGTGAGTCTTAGATAAAGATATTTATTTCTTATATTTCTGTTAAATTTATTCATTTATACATCATTTTGCAAAATTTTAGATGCGGCAGAAGTTACTGCTTTAATATGTTTGGGAATTGTCAAAATTTTCAGTACGATTTGTTCATTAGTAATAGTAGAAAAATGTGGACGTCGCACAGCTCTAATAACATCAGCTACAATATGTATGACAACTGTATCATTATTATCTTTACTTGCAACAATAGATAGAGGTAGTAACAACTTAGATACCGAAGATTCATATTGCAAACTTGTTGCTGAAGAAAAAATACAGAACATTTTACCAAATGGATCTCCAACACCATTTCCTTTATTGCCTACACCTTTAGCTGTAATTGAATCAACTCCTGAAACTTGGACACAACTAAAAGCATCTTGTGAAGTAATTAAATAATTATTGCTTATAATCTATAATTTATAACACATTAAAGACAAAAAAGAAATATTATACAATAAAAACATACTGTTATTCTATATTATAATAATTAGACTGTATAAATTACAGAATCAAGGTGCTGTTTTCCCAGAAGGTCTCACAAATGGTTTACGTATCTTAGCAGTGACAACTTTACTTGTATATGAAGCAGCATATACTTTAGGGCTTGGCCCAGTTCCTTTATTGAATCTAAGTGAACTTTTTCCTGTATCAATACGTGGTAGATGTGCCAGTCTTGCAACAACTGTTATGTGGACAACTCACATCTTAACTATTGAAACTGTAAATAAAATTACAAGTAAGCCATGCATGTTTTTATATACACTTTAAATAATGTTATCAATTACTGACACAAACAAAACATATTACTATTATTTTACTTTACAGAATCAATGACTTTGGCTGGTTCTTATTTGTTTTATAGCTTTATGTGCTTAATTACAATATTTTATATATTTCTGTTTATTCCTGAAACAACAGGAAAGTCGTTACATCAAATAGCTCAAGAACTCAATAAAATTTCCATAATTACGCGACTATGTAAAAATGTGTATAGTTTACCACTTATTCGTCACATCAAATGGATCAAAAGGTATGAAAATACTACAAGTAAAAAACAGAGTATTTTAATTTAAAAACTGTTTAAAAACGTATGGCAATTTAAAATGTTTTTAAACTTTTATGTATAATCTAGTCAGTTAAACGTATCAGATAATTAAATTTTGTTATATACACAATATTATGAATATGTATATAGATTCACATTTCTTAAATTTGTACTATTTTATTAATTAGTAAATTTTATTAAAACGTAAAGAATAGTATGTATTTATTATATATATATAGCTTAACATTATATATTGTTCAAGAATCTCATATTTCATATGGAATACTGTTGCAGTATTCATTAAGTATATGTTACTCATTTTGTCAGTAATCATTCTTACTAACAAAATGCTTAGAACTATTATGAAAGAAAATAAATAAATAATCTTAATATATTTAGAAAATATTTCGTTCTATTTTATTCATTCAAATAATATTGTTAACAGTAATCATTATAATTGAACATATAAAAAAAACTTTTATTATATACACAATGCATTTTGTATAAAACAAAAATAATATTAGAGTATTATATATACATATATGTAATATATATAATCGTATAATAATTATATTTACTGTGACATGTGTGTGAGTGTGTGTATGTGTGTACAATAGTATAAAAATTAAATAGAATATAAAAATAGAATATTATTCTATACATATGTTATTCAAAATATACGTTATGAATTTAATCGTCCATGTTTATACATGGAAGAAATAACAAATAAAATATTTAAATTATAATAGCAATTTTAATGTTATTAACAACCATTAATATGCCAATATTATTTTAATTAAAATTGAAATTTTATATATTTTTTTTTTAAATAAAATTTGTAGTATCTTCATAGTAAATTGAAATGGACCACACAAATAATTTTTATGAATTAAAATAAAAGATAATATGAAATCATTTTTACAAGTTTTTTAAATTCTGTATAAAAGATTTTTTTCTTTTCAAAACTTCTTCTAAAAATACATGTCTCTTATCTTTCATATTAAGTTGTACATTATATAAAGTTTCTTTATTTTCATAAATGTTATTGCTTTCTTCTATGTATACATTATTATATTTATTAGTATTATTATCTTTTACTGTTGCAATTGGAGCTAAATTTTCTTTATCATGAGTAAAAGATAAACCTGTTGTTTTTTTTAAAACAATTGAAACATTTGTAGTTAATGTTTCTGAATTTTTTGAGAAGTTCATATGTTCTACTTTTATTCCATTGTTTGGTGTTACCATATATACGAGTTGCTGTGATTTAGGTTCAAATTTTTCTTTCAATAATGATAATTTTTTTTTCGTATAATTAATCGTTTTTTCATGTTTGTTACAATGTTTATGACTGATAATATCGTTATTAGAGCACACAGATGTTGATGATTCTTTTACAGATTTGTCTGGTATAGCCGTTGATACGTTAAAATTTCTATTTTTAACAATAGCTTTTAAATCAGATGGTTTATCATCTATTATGTCAATACGTGTATCTTTTGTGTTAGCTACGGGCACTAATGAGTTCATTTCAATATACAAATCATGCTCATTTGAATGAAATACATGAGAACTAGTTGTTCCATTAATGTGTTTTTGAATTTTGTCTTTATTTCCTAAAATTGGTGAGTCAGACAATATAGCATCAATTAAAGGAGTTTTTTTAATTGACTCTATCGTACACGACTTTACCAATTCTCTAATCGTATTTAATTCACATTTGTTTGCAATTTTATCTGGAGATTTTTCTAATGATTTTGTCGAGCTTGCATCATCTATAATATTATCATGTAATTTATCGGAAAACAACATATTTGTACATGATAAATCTTTTTGTGTCATATCACCCCAGTGTGATTCTGTTCTGTGATAAATATGCCTAGGTGAATTTTCTGCTGCAGATGTCCTAATTTGATCTATGGTACTAACAAGAGAACTCACTGATGTACAAGCTGGTTTTATAGATTTTGTAGTTACAGAAAAAATATCATCATCATCGTCATCATCATCATCATCGTGTTCTTCAACTATAGTATCCAATGAAAACATTCCACCTGTATCATCTATAACTATTGGTTTTGCGGCATATAATGTTGCATTTTGTTCCTCTGTATTGGATGATGTGTATAAATCATTATTACATTTGACTTTAAGTTCATTTGAATCGACTAAATCATAAGTTAAACTATCTAAATAATCATTTTGCTTTAAAATTCTCCTTATTAAAGAACTTGTACATGTTCCATCCGAAAAATCTGAACTATATGTTGTTCCTGTAGTTGTACTTGTTAAAGTATCTCTACGTCTGTCTCTGACAACACTATCATCATGGAGATAAGTTTCTATATCAGTATAACCTTTCCAACTACGTATACACCACGGTGGTCTTGCAACTCCTAAAGGACATACATTTTCATAATCATGAATCGACGTAACACAACTCATTGTCTCATCTTTCTGTTGCAAATCTTTAGATAATTTAGTTGTATCCGAATCTTTATCGCTATGAGAAGAAATTGCTGCAATGTGTAATTCTTCTTCATTTCTTATAGTATTCAAAACATCACTAATATCTCTAAGTTTTTCTTTCAAGGAAGAAAACCTTTTATTATCTAAAAATGTGTTAGATTTTAACTCTATGTTAGAGTTTACAACAGGAATTTCACAATGCTTGAAATCAGATTTCAATCTTTCTTTATCTGTATGAATTGCAAGTGTATCTTGAGTTGAAGAAAATACATTTCTACGTTTTTGTGAAGAAATATGTACATCAGAATTTATCACGTCAAAATCTTTATCCTTATCTAAATCTTCCGTAATGGGTAAACAAATACCTCTACGTTTTCTATGATGAATTGTAGAAAGATTATTTTCTAAAAGAGTAATATTCTCAATGCATTTACAGACAGCATTAAATGTATCTTTACAATTATTACGAGCTATTCTATTGCATTTAGGACACGAATTAATAGTCAATATATCTTTATCGTGAAGCGATAAGGTTTCCCTATCTTTTAATGAAGATTCAGGTGATTTGTCACATTTAGAAACCACGTGCTCAGTGTTTTTTATTTCATTTTCTATTTTATAAGCTTCATTAACAATACCTTCCTCTAAGCAATCGGTATTCTGAACAATATTTGTTAACAAAAATTGCTTGTCAGCTGTTACTTCCTCAGAAGTTGTTCTTGTGGATACATTTGAAGATTGTGGTAGTGAACCACAATAATATTGTTTAAAAGATCGAGAAGTATCTATATTATTAGTAGCAATAACATTTGAATTTTCATTACTAACTTTATGTAAACTTAAGTTTCTTGTTGGATGAAATTTAGTGTAGTATAATAACATACTTATAAGACCAATTAACATACCTCCAACAATAAAAAATATCATTAATATAAATATATCAATTGTTATTGTTTGTTTAAAATTTAACATATAAATCACTAAAGAAGATAAATTTTCGATCACTATAATAAAATAAAATGCAAAAACCTTGTAACGAGATTTTCCTTCGCATAAATTAAAAAAGTCAAAACAATAAATAAGTCCTATGATACAATTATAAATACGTTCTTCCCAAATAGTAGAACAAAAATCTGTGTTTTGAAGTATTACCCAAACAGTCATAAAAAACCAATGCAAGCCTAGAAGAAAGATATTAATTATTTCTTGAATATATATATATATATATATATATATATATATATATATAAATCTAATAATATGAATTTAATGATAAATTTTTAATTGATTTTTGATTGAAAACTCACCAAGAAATAAGGAAAACCATTTTTTTAAACAAATTGCTATTAATACTAACACAGTTAGCCTTGATGTTAACATTCCACCCCTCCAAAGATATTGAAGCATCAGTGATATCCAAGATTCATTATTGTGATTAGGATTAATTTTGTGCATGGCTTTTATATATGTTCCTATAGCCCAAATTAAAGAACAAAGAGAAGCCATAGTTGACATACCTATATAAATAATATTTAAACTCATTATAAATGCAATTGTAATATAAAAGTAATAATACATAATGAAATTTTAAGAAATAATAAAAAAAAAATGCATGGTTAATCGAAGGATACATACATACATATAATGCTTTACATATTTTGTTCTGTTATAGCTTCTATAGTATTTTATTTTTAGCCTATTTATATGATCACAGTGGTAGGAGTCTAAAGTATTTTTAAAATTGAAAAGTATGCGTTCTATGCATAGATTTTATATGAATAAAGACTAAGAATATTATAACAGAATATATAGCAAATTTTCAGAGATATATTCTTCATTCAAGTATGTTATCTTTGGGGGCGGGACAAAGGAAATAAGGAAGGAAGACCCAAAGATATTCGTTCAGTTTAGCTATTACTTTTCAAGCTTGACTTAACATATCCATACTTCATACTCCTTCATAATTCTTAAAAAATTCATAGTTCTTTAAATATTATACCAATCTAATATCATATCGATATTATTTACTTTTTTATATTATATATATATATTTTGTAATTATAAAATTATTTATACAAGGTAGCATAAAATAAATGTGTGTGTTGAATCCGTGTTACATTTTAACTGTGAAAATATACTAACTTCATAATAAATATTTAATATAAAGATTTCGTTATACAAGGACTTAATATGGTCAATTACACAGATAATAGAAACTTATGGTCAGGATTTATCAAGTTTCTATGTTTATACATGAAAAATAAAATAATATTATTGCAGGTAATATTATTTATAGTTATTAGTTTTTAAAGAAATAAACTATGGAAAACTAATGTTGTATTATTGATGTAATTTCATAATTAACGTGAATAGTCGTATATATATTTCACCTTTTATAGAAAAATTATTATATTGCAGTTAATTATAATTGTTATCATATTATTTACTTTATTAATAACTTGGAAAGAAACATGGCATAATTACAATGAAGAAAATAATACATTAGAGGCATGCGGAATTGTTAAAGATATAAAGCAATATACAAAACAATATGATCAAAAAGTTGACAAAATTATTGTTAATAATTCAGATATAGTTTTATCATCTACAGAAATGATTATTAAGAGAATAGAATTGAATACAAGGAAAGAAAAAATACAAAAGACGTGTAAAAATTATACCAATGATGAAGATTTACAGTTAAATAAAAACTTTCCTAATATGATTATTGATACGTAAGTATTAATACATAGCACGTAATTAATATATTTTAATGTTTCATATGAATAAACTTATTATTCAATATTTTACATATGATCATCAGAAAACATGGTATATCATGGTGTCCTATATATAAAGTGGGAAGTTCAATTTGGATGAAGAATTTTGCAATACTTGCAGGTATCTTAACAGATACAACCATGAATTTAATTAATCAGAATGCAATTCAAATGAATAATATTGTTAAACAAGCATTTCCTTCTGATTTAAATATAAATAAAACACTTAAGGTAATAGATTTTGTTAAATAATATGATAATAATATTTTACTGAATTATACAGTTGAGAAACTTTGATATTACAGAAATTGCATGGCACTAAAAAATTCTTAATTGTGCGACATCCTTTTGAACGACTCTTGTCTGCATATAGAGATAAATTAGAACATATAAATGGAAGAGAATATTATTATAAACGATTTGGACGACGGATTACACATAAATACCGTAGACACAAAAATTCAACTAGAACAAAATTAGAGCCTACATTTGAAGAATTTTTAGAATTTATTGTAAATGAAAAGTATTTTGATGAACATTGGGCCCCATATTATGATACTTGCAAACCATGCATGATAAATTATGATTATATCCTCAAATTTGAAACATTTCAAGAAGATCATCGTTTTTTCATGCAAGATACTGGATTAAAATATTATTTATACGAAAACAGTGATTTCAAAAATATTAATCCATATGGTCGTACAACTAGTAGCTTATTAAAAAAATATTTAACAAATATACCAAAATTACTCCTTCGAAAAATATATAAAATTTATGAAAAAGATTTTCAATTATTCTCTTATTCTATAGATTTATTTTAAAAGTATATATATATGTTAATATTTATTAAAAATAAATTCTACTGAAAAAACTTACTTGTCCAAATAGGTGCATCATGTAATACAATAATAATGTATAACTGCAATACAAGTTGTGGTGCTGCTCCCATAAAAGATTCAAATAATTGTAACATACAAATATCACTTTCTTTCCTATATACTGACTTCTTATCTTTTACAAACTGTTTATTTTTCAATGAATACACAGCTGTATATAATAGAATCAAATACCTATAGAAACAATAAAGTAATTATTCATATAAATAGAAGAATGCATGTTAATTAAAAATACTTTGAATAATACAGAATTCAATACTATTATCAAATAAAATAAAATACTAACTGAAATTGAATAAACTTGAAAAATAAAAGATATATAATTTAAATTATAATATAATTCACATAATATAAGTATAAACTATATATATATATTTACCTGTGGAATACTCCCAAGAAAAAAATATGTGATATCCAATGAATTAATTTGACAGAACCATCACTTTGTTGCCATCTTAAACTGAATAATTGAATAATACCAGCTGGTATAATTGTAAAACTAATTGATAAACATCCCCATAGTGTATATCCTTGTAAAAGATATTGCACAAATGCAAAGCTATCTGCATATAATATAATATTATCAAATATATAGCTTATATTGAATATTACAATTACTTAAAAGATATATTTATTTTAAGACAATGTGATTTAATTATTATTATTATTATTAAATATTCGTTTATTATAATATATAATATCATTGATGGAATAAATTATCTAAATTTAAAAGTTTTTCCTTTGTTAATCAAATTAAACATTAAATTAAAACTTTTACTATCAAAATATTATTTCCATAAAATTTATCTATATATATATATAATTTTGTGATTAAAACATTTGTTTAATATAATATAATAAATAAATAGAGATAAATACAAATAATTAATCAAATATAAGAAACATCATTATAATGCTTTCGTTATTCACCTGTTAGAGTATCCGTAAAAAGAAAAAAAATAGAACATATATAATATAACAGATCTTTTATCTTAAACTGATAGCATTCGATTTCTCTATGCGAAATTGTTTGTGATATATTACTTTTTGAAATTTCAGCAAATGAAACATGTTTCTGATTTAACTCTGCCGCTGCCATTTTCGCGGCCATTCACAATTCATGTTTCTATCAACGAAAACTTGAATAATAATTGATCAATTTGAAATATCTAAATAAATAAAAAAATCTGATATATAAATCACTGATTTGATTTATATTTTAATTTATATTTTGTTTTATTATGCTTAAATTTCTTATAACGTTCATAAAAAAAAAGCTATAAAAAAATGTTATCTTTTTTTACAGTACAGTCTCAAAAATAAAACAATTTTAAGAGTTTTGTTTTATTTACAGATACATGCAAAAAAAATCTAATAACTGAAAATATTTCATCTAAATAATTTACATATTATCAATTCAAACTTATTTGTCATAGTTTATTTGAAATAAATATATATTGTTTATTATTAATTTAAATATATAAATTTTAATACAGTTGCGTAAATATTGACCAATCAGCGAAAATCATTATAGCGCATGCGCAATAATTGTATTCAAATTAACATTATACTTTCCCATCTATTTAATAGTAATGAACTTCGACTATAAGTATTGGCATCTGTGTAATTATTAACGAAAGATTTGTTATCGTTTTATTCTGGAATGTAATCATGATCTGTTTAATATCATTTCGAGTATAATTATAATATTATTGTAAAACTATAAACGTTTTTTATACATACAAATATATTTCAATAATATATATATATATAAATATATAAATATATATATATATATATATTACTTTACTTTGTTCTCAAATGTCCAGAATGGAGGAAACGGAGAATAATTTGCTAGAAAAAAATAAATTAAAAACTGATACAGGACAAGATGCATCATATGTAAGTTTCCTTTAAACATAAATAACAGTTGATTAATAAACTTTCTATTAACCTCAATATTACATATTACATATATAGTATTCAAGCAATCCATCAGACTTATCTATTGGAAGCAGCAGAAATCACCATAACATTTCTAATAATGAGAAAACAGACAATACTATTTTAGTTGCTGAACATTACAATACAATGGAAGAAAAGTGTCTTTCTCAAAGGGATCAAAGTCGCATTGTTTACATGAGAAACTTTAATAATTGGATCAAAAGTATGCTTATAGGCAAGTATTTGTTTTTTGAATTTTTTAATATGATTATAATTTAAATGTAATTTTTGTTCTATTAATGTATATATTTATTTTTATTTTTTACAGATGAATATGTAAATAAAATAAAACAGAACAAAAATCGTAACAGCCCCTTAAAGGTACTTGATATGTGTTGTGGTAAAGGTGGAGATCTTCTAAAATGGAAAAAGAAAGAGATTAGACACTTAGTATGTGCCGATATAGCTGAAGTATCTATTGAACAATGTAAAAATCGATATAATGATATTGTAAACAAAAGTTCCAAAGTAAGGGGATTTACACCTATTTTTACTGCTGAATTTATTGCCGCCGACTGTACAAAGGTATTTAGTTATTACAATTTTGGAAACTGCTTGTACTTCGTTTACAAAAAAAAAAAAGTATTTATAATATAAAAAAAGTGTTAATGTTTCCAACATTTGATGTTCTACATTGTAATTTTGTCAATGGGATTGGTTATAAAAGCGAGTTTTAGGTACGCCTAAGAGAAAAATACAAGGATGTTACTATACAATTCGATCTTGTGAGCTGTCAATTTGCATTTCATTATAGTTTTGAATCACTAACGCAAGCAGAATGTATGCTACGAAATGCAAGTGAATGTTTAAGACCAGGTGGTTATTTTATTGGAACTATACCAGATGCTTATGACTTAGCGTATGTACATACTTAGTATTGTTTAATATCTAAGTCTTAATAAATAAATATATTTTGTTCGTAGGCAAAGGGTTAAAATAGTATATTCAATAAATTAATTTGTAAAATTTGATTATTAGTTCTAGATGGCAAAAGTGTGATGGTAACAAGTTTGGAAATGATATTTATAGCGTAGAATTTATATGTAAAGATAAGACAAATCCACCTCTTTTTGGTACTAAATATAATTTTCATCTTGAAGGCGTAGTTAATTGCCCAGAATTTTTGGTTCATCTTCCTACGCTGTGCAAATTAGCTTCTAAATTTGGTCTCGAATTAGTAATGTTTGAAAGGTAAATACAATTATTACAAACATCAAACTAATCATAAAATTATTTGTTTAATATAAATATATATTCTTATGTATAATACAGATTTGAAACTTATTATGAACGTATGAAGAACGAAGGTAAATCTTTGCTGTATAAAATGCAAGCTATGGAAACTTATCCTCCGTATTATGAAAGTCCATTATTAGGTAAACCTTCTCAGGATTATCAACATGCTATAAGTCATATGCAAAATCAACCAGGCCATCGTAAAATTGGTACATTGTCTCAACCAGAATGGGAAGTCATATGTAAGTTAAAGAAATGTATGCTTTATTAATAAAATATATATATATATTTTTTTTATGTATTTCTTTATACTTGCGAACTTTCAATAAACTGGATAAATTTTGTTTACAGCACTTTATGCAGTATTTGCATTTCAAAAAAAAGAAATAGACTAGAATGGGGATAAGAAGATGAAAACAATCACGAAGTCATTATAAAGCAGAATAAATAAAGCTACAAAACAAATTTTTTATTTCCCAATGAAAATAATTAAAATGACATTATTACAGCTAACAATAATATGAATTACTAATGATTTAATGTAATATAAATTATTTTGTTATCATAGAAAAATGTATATCTAATCAGAGATTTAATCTTGAATTAAAGAGATTTTCAATAATATTTCCTTTAATAAAGTTAAGACAAAAATATATAACATGATACATAGTAATAATAGTTTAATTTCGTTATTCGTATAATGATTGTTTAAATATTTACAAATTTCTTGTTATATTGTTAAAAATGTAATAGGTAAAAATTCCATTATATATCTCACTATAAATTTTTGTAGCTAGAAATGAGTAATGACTTCAATATTAAATGCGTCTTTGAAAAAATATGAAAATTATATCTTCGAAATATTTTCACAATCCTTTCACGTAGTCATACTTAAAATCCTTTATCTATTTACTGACATTAAATTTTCTTATATTCGATGAAAGAAAATAACACAAAGAAAAATATTGAAAATATGATTAAACCTTGATATCAGCGATAATTAAATGTAAATTATAAGCATATAGAATAATTCTAACCTAACTTATTAAATAAATAGAAAACATAACGGAAGAAAGAGCAAAGGTAGCATATAAATATACATATATATACACCTACACATATACATACACATATATATATATATATATATTTACGCGTGTTAGAAAGAAAAGTAGTAAATAGAAAAAATCATCTGATGAACGGTCACACCGAGGATCGAAGGGGCGGAGTCAGGTAGGGGCATGCGCAGTAACGCATTTCAGATACTTTGCCGTTGCAGTGTCTCGCTTCTCTATCTAGTGGGGACTCTGTAGTAGACAGTTACGCACGAAGAGTATAGTTATAGCTGAGTCAGTACTCTGTGTGAGTGTGTTCCCGGTGCTCTTCTCATTCTTGTAAGCTCTCTTGCTGCCAGAGTCTATCAGCCGTGTGTTTCGATACGGGCAGACATGGAGCTCGAGCAACCGATATCGGAAGCTAATTCCAATTTAGTAAGTAGTAATTTTGTATATTCTAAAACAAATGATCAAATGTATGTGTATAGTTTTTCAATTACTCTTCGTTTAACGGTACTTTTCTCTTGGTAATACCTATCGAGGATGGACGCGAAAATTTTCTAAGTCCCAAAATGGCGTCTGCGACTAAGTCCAACTTTATCATGAACGAGCAATCCGTCCAGACGTTAATATCAATGACCATTTATATGCATTTTTCCTACGATAAATATATTTTTGTTTTAATGATCTTCGTGTATAATTTTACTTTGATAATGGAAAAATAAGATTTTTTGTTCTTTTCTTTCAGGAAAAACGGTCGAAGGAAAACAGCGTTGTGGGTAATCATAATGGTGAGTTAATTTATTTTCAGATGTGATACGTGTAATCTTTAATACGAAAAATCATGAAATCCAGTCGATTAAGAATGCAAACAAACTAGTTCCAATGCTATGAGAAGAGAATAGTACAACTTATTCTGCCAATGACCTAAGCGCTCGGACACGTGTTTTCATTCTGAGAAAGCATTCCAAAACTTATCATTTTTATACCATAAATATGAACTTCATTTTTTTTTTGTTTCTTTCTTTTATCAGTTTACTGTTTTATTTTTATTATTTTTTTTTCCTATATTACATTTTATTAATTATTGAGAGTAGTCTTTTAAACTTAACGAGTTGAACAAGTCTTGCATTCTATGAAAGAAATTGAATATGATCAAAAATGAAAGTCTCGATTGCGTATTTATGTACACCGTGTATAGTAGTGTACGCATATGATCACACATAATTGGCAATATCTAGTTGCTACACTATATAATATGTGTAATCTATAGAAAATTACTTATGTTCTATTTCATTACAAAGGATTAATACAAAAATTAAAGTTATGAGAAAAAACTATATTCCAATTTAATCTGTATTACAAAATTTAATTGTATATTATATTAATGATATTTGTTTAGTTATTTCTTTTCTTTTTGATGACAATACATAAACACACATAAGTTGTATTAGATTTACTATGACGATCAGTAAACCTAAATTTATATTATACAAAAAGAAGAAAATATCAAATCTAAAAAGTAATTAAATAATATAAGTACGAAATTCGTTTCTCTCATTGATTACATTTGAATATTATTTAAAATAGTTATTGATTATAGAATTTATATTTAAAAAAAAAAAAAAAGAATTAAATTATTATTCATATAAATATGATTTGTTATGTTTATAATTTTGGTTATGTGTGTTACAATTATATAAATATAACCTGAATAGTATAATGTATAACAAAATGGATATTTTTTGTTTAGATGCTCATTTGAATGGCATGTCTAATGGATTTGATAGAAAAAAGGAACATAAATCCGAACATAAAGATAAAGAAAAGGAGCGATCTCATAAGTCTGAACATAGAGATAAAGACCGAAGTAAGGAAAAAGAAAAGAGTCACAAAAGCGAACACAGAGACAAGGATAAAGACAGACACAAACATAGTTCTAGTTCCTCCAAAGACAAGGATAAACATGAGAGTAGCAGCAGCAGCAAGGATAAAGATAGAGAAAAGAAGAGTAGTTCGTCGTCAACGAGTAAAGACAAAGATCATAAGCATAGTGGATCATCATCTAGTAAGGATAAAGAAAAAGACAGAAGTAAAGATAAAGAGCATCATCATAAATCTAGTTCCAGTTCAAAGGAAAAAGACAGGTATTGAGAAACAAAATAAAGACAAATTCTTCATATATTTTCAAACTTAACAATCTGTAAAAAAAAAAGAAAACAAATCATTTCTAATTTCTCTCATTACTTTTTTTTTTTTTTAGATATCACAGTGGTTCCAAGGATAAGGAAAGTTCCAATAAGGATAAAGAAAGTTCAAGGAGTAAAGAAAAGGATAAGCATAGGCATAATTCAGTGAGTTCAAATTCTCGTGATAAGGACAAAGAGAAAGATTCTTCAAAGGATAAAAAACATTCATCATCAGAAAAAGATAAGGATAGACATTCCACTTCTCATTCTGGAGACAAAGAGAAACATCGTTCCTCCGATAGAGAAAAAGATAAACATAGTTCATCTAGTAAGGATAAACATCGTCATGAAAAAGATAAGGATCGTCATAGGCATGATAAAGAAAAATGTAAGTTGTTATATTATTATCCTAGAAAAAAAAAGATAATTCATTGATTAATGTTTTCTATTCGTTTATAATATTTACAAAAATTTACAGCTAAACATCGAGAAGAAAAAGATAAAAAGGAAAAAGAAAAGGATGAAGTAAAAACGACGAAAGATGTAGAAATAAAAGTCAATCATCTTACAAGTGAAAGTTTTCGATACAACCACGATATCAAACCAGACATAAAAGAGGTATAATGGGATTTGCTTTTATTTATTTTTTTTGTTTTTTGTTTTATATATTCCTTTTTACATTTTATTAACATATTGCATATATTAACATGTACAGGAACCAATATCGCAAATAGAGCAAGATGAAGATGATGATGATAGTGGTGAAGAACCACATCTTTTCATTAAGGAAGAAGAAGATGAAGAAGAGCCTGTTAAAGATGAAGCTAGCATGGATTCAACCACTGACACAAGACTTTCAGATCTTCATAATACAACTCTTAAAACTGAAGAAGAATCGGAGGAAGATTTGCCATTGGTAAATATATTTTTATAAAAATATTATAAAAATATAAACTATTTATCAACATTTTATTTTCTATTATATTGTAAACATATATAAGTATCATTATTTATTATTTGTATATAGTGCGCAAGATTTACGTCAACACCAAATGTTAAAAGAAAAATTGAATCGGATGATGAAGAAGAACTTCCACTTTCTGCTCGTAAAAAGGCCAAGAAAACTGGTTCCAAAATAAAGAAAAAGAAACGGAAACATGATGAAGAAGAATCTGAAGTAGACGAGGTAAATTATTTTGGAAATTCTTTTTTCAATAGTATCTACTTATAAATATTGTATACTTATTTTATGTATATGTTTTTATTTTTTATGTTATAGAAGCCAAAGAAGAAAAGTAATAACAAAAGTATAAAAAGTGAAACAACTAGTCCCAGAAAGAAAAAGCAAGAGGAAGAGCAAGATGTTTGGAAATGGTAAGATATATGATACATCCATCTTCTTAAATTTGATTGGTTCAGTTCTTGGCCTATGGTCATGTGATCACCTAACCTCTTTTTGTTATATTTCTAACGTGCGTCGAATTTGTGAAAATCAGTTTTAGTTAACAAAGAAATGATGATCAAACTAGTTTAATTAAAAATGAAACGTCTTATTAACATAATGGTGCTGTTTTCTGTAGAAGTTTCATTTAATTATAATCGCCATTATATAAACTCTCGATATTTTCATTTTCGATCTCTTTTAAGGTTATGTTACTTTAAAGTAAATTAAACCTACTCAAACATAAATGTCTGTTTATGACTTCACTTATAAAATGAAATAATAATAATAATAAATCATTATTTCAGGTGGGAAGAAGAAAAGAAGAACGATGGAACCAAGTGGACATTCTTAGAACATAAAGGACCAGTTTTTGCACCACCGTATGAACCACTTCCTCCTAATATTAAATTTTATTATAACGGTAAAGAGATGAAATTGAGCGAAGGTGCAGAAGAAGTAGCAACCTTTTATGCACGAATGTTAGATCATGATTACACGACTAAAGAAGCATTTAATACTAATTTCTTTCATGATTGGCGAGAAGTAATGACAGAATCAGAAAGAAATAAAATAGTTGACTTGAGCAAGTGTAATTTTAAAGAAATGCATGCATATTTTGTTCAAAAGAGTGAAGAAAGGAAAGCAATGTCAAAAGAAGAAAAGAAAAAGATAAAGGAGCAAAACGAAGAGATTCAAAAAGAATATGGATTTTGTGTTATTGATGGTCATAAAGAAAAAATAGGTAATTTCAAAATAGAACCTCCAGGACTTTTTAGAGGTCGAGGAGAACATCCAAAAATGGGAAAATTGAAAAAGAGGGTTTTGCCTGAGGATGTTCTCATTAATTGTTCAAAAGATTCTAATATTCCAAAACCACCCAGTGGGCATAAGTGGAAGGAAATTAGACACGATCCAAATGTAACTTGGTTAGCTTCTTGGACAGAAAATATTCAAGGACAAGTTAAATACGTTATGCTTAATCCTTCGAGTAAGTTAAAGGGAGAAAAAGATTGGCAAAAATATGAAACTGCTAGAAAATTAGCTGCATCAATTGATAAAATCCGTAATGAGTATAGAGAAGACTGGAAAAGTAAAGAAATGCGCATTAGACAAAGAGCTGTAGCGTTATATTTTATTGATAAGTTAGCACTTAGAGCTGGTAATGAGAAAGATGAAGATCAAGCAGACACTGTAGGTTGTTGTTCTTTGCGTGTTGAACATATCACATTGCATGAACAGAAAGATGGAAAAGAATATGTAGTTGTATTTGATTTCTTAGGTAAGACACATTTTTCTAATAATGATATTTTTTTCAAAGTATTATTAATATGTAATAATTCTGTACATCTTTATTCCATTTAATTTTAGGTAAAGATTCTATAAGATATTATAACGAAGTGCCAGTAGAGAAACGTGTCTTTAAAAATTTGCAACTATTCATGGAAAATAAATCTCCCAATGATGATTTATTTGATCGACTTAACACTACAGTTATGAATAAACATTTGAATGAATTAATGGAAGGTCTGACAGCTAAGGTATTTAGGACATACAATGCATCGTGGACATTGCAACAGCAGTTAGATAAGCTGACTAATCCTGATGACACGGAGGCTGAAAAAATCTTGGCATATAATAGAGCTAATAGAGCAGTAGCTATATTATGTAACCATCAACGTTCTGTGCCAAAAACTCATGCAAAATCTATGGAAAATTTAAAAGCTAAAATAGAGGCTAAAAAAGAAGCAATAACTGAAGCAGAATTACAAGTAAAAGATGCAAAACGTGATGCGAAACATGGCTCAATTAAAGAAAAAGTGTACGTAAACATTTAGATTATAATATTTTCGTTTAAATATATATATTTTGTAAACGCATCAATGGTAAATATTATTTATTAAATGTTATATTTTTTTTTCTATAGTGTCTATGAAAAGAAGAAGAAAGCACTAGACCGTTTGAAGGAACAATTGACAAAATTAGAGGTTCAAGCAACCGATAGAGAAGAAAATAAAGAGATTGCATTAGGAACCTCCAAACTTAATTATTTAGATCCAAGAATTTCTGTCGCATGGTAAGTATTAGAACTATACAGTGATATATGCAAATGGGATATTAAAAAAAGAAAATATTATTATAAGATGATTATTTTTTTTTTTTATTTAGGTGCAAGAAGCATAATGTCCCAATTGAAAAAATCTATAATAAAACTCAAAGGGATAAGTTTAGATGGGCGATAGATATGGCTGGACCAGACTATATCTTTTAACCCCATAAAAAAACTGCTTTTACGTAATAACATATTTTTCGTTAAGAGTATATAGTGAATTTCTGTCTTATTAGGGAAATACAAGAACGATATAATTTTTTGTATTTACATGAATAAATATAAGAACAGCTGGATACGTTTTATATAGAATATTAAAATTTGTAGTAAGGAGACTTGATATATTCAGTATATATATTATATATAATTAATAATTATTAATGGGATCGAATCGATCGCCTGGCAATCATGCATAAAAATTTTAGCGATCATTGTATATCTGCGTAATAATAGCGTTCAATTAGAATCGTAAATAATCAAGGAAAAAAAGTGAATAGTTTGATAATTAATAATAAAAAAAAAAAAAAGTAAGATATATTAGGCAATTTCTTATACGTGTGTGAGTTAGGACAAATATCAAATTTGTGCAAAGTCTAAATTTAGAGGATATTTCGGACGCTTTTATAAAATAATGGTTTTTTCTTTTTTTTGTAAACCTCTAAGTTTAGATAAATATTTTATGTATGGGCTGTACCACTGTAAATAGAATATTATCGAAAATGTTGACAGCCGCAAATTAATTAAGAGCATCTCAAATTTATGTAAAAATTCACAGCTATCAAATAGACAATTTTTATTTCTTTTTTTTTTTTTTTCTCATTTAATATTTTTGTACATATATTGTCATTTCAAATCATTTACATTTTTTCATCATAAATTAAAAAAAAAAAAAATAGATCTTAGTAAAAACAAGCTAAACGTTTTTTTTGGTATATAAATTATATCATTTTAAATGCAATATTACTCTACACAAACTCAATTTGCATAATAATCTCTTAAAGAACTATTGATATGGCGATATATTTAAATAAAATTATCGCTTTTGCGATCTATGTTTTATAAAAAAAAGAGCAAACAACAAAAAAAAAAAAATAAAAACAAATACCATGTAGATTATTATAAATGTGAACATACTGTATGCCTGTATAATTAATTTTTGACATCATTTGTATACGTGATAACATTATGCACAATGGTGACAATGATTCTAGAAAATACATTGACTGCAATGCATGAAAAAATTATTTATAATTCACAGCCCATTGATAAAATTAAGTTTTAGTATTTAACGTTGGAAGAGTGTTATTATTTTCACGTGACATAATATATAGTTATGTGACACTTTGTGCATTTACATATACATAAATGTAGCATGCGTGTGTCACTGATATTTTAAAAGATTATATTGTAAAACATCATGTTTTCATACTTATTTGTATTATTATGAGAATTCTATAATTTAAACTTTGTAGATGTTGATATCTAAATAACAGATAATATGGGACTCAAGTAATTATCATTGTAAAAGACTATTCTTTAATTTCTTCTTCTTCTTTTTTTTTCTTTTTTTTTTAATAAAAAGAACGTCTTATTTATTAAATTGATATAGATTAGTTATTTCAAAATATGATTTCACTTTGAACAAAATAATGGAACGTTAGTTACTTATAATTTATCTAAGCAGCAGATTACAATAGAAAAATTGTATTATTATGTGCGGTATAAATGGAACAATGAATTTTGAAAATTCCTATTTTAAGAAGTATGGCAATATATGTCAATATATATATCTTAAAATATATAGGAAATATTTTCACAATTTAAGTAACTATCTATTAGCAATTCTGACTTTACAGAACTGCCAATTTATTTGTTATTAATTATGTATTAATTAGTCTGTTAAGTCATGCATAACAGTTTCTCAAAATACATCGTGTGTACATTCTTCTATAGTTATTTCTTGTATTGTCATTTATTGCATATTTAGATGATAATTATTTATGCGTTAATTCATATTTAATATCATCTGGTATAAGGATATTTTTTAACTTAGTATTAATAAACGAAAATAGAGAGAGGGACTGCTTATGTACACTTCAGACTACTAAAAGATTTCTTTAGATTAATTTGTATATGAATATAGATAATGTTACAATACTTAATCATAGATGTTGGAAAAAAAAAAAAAAAAACTAATTGCAATATAGGAGAACACACTGTCAGGACAAATGATAAAATGCAATCAATGTATAGATTTCCGATTCTATGTACACTATAATATATAATATAAAATTTTTAACTTTTACAAAACATAAGAATACAATTGATATTCAAAATACAGTCGAGTACTGCACAAATTGAAAGTGTAAGACTTGAATGTAAACCTTTGAACATTATCAATCATTTCTGTACAATACTGAACTAATAAAAAAAAACTACAGTATTGAAAGAAGCATAGGTTGTATTAATTAAATTCATTCAGTATAATAATAAAACAAAAAGAATACATAATATATATCAAGGAAAATAAATACATATGTGTATTGTGTTTTTATATTTGCAAATAATATAGAATATTTTCAATATTTCTCCTCACTGTAATAGAAATTCTATTTGTAACAGAAAAAAAAAAAAAAATCAGTAAAAAACATGTATTATTCATTTTCACTTAAATTTCATCATTTCATTATTCAATTTCAAAATATAATTGAAGAATATCATAATGATTATGGTTAAAATTAGTCAAAATTAAATTAAATTAAATTAAATTAACATGTGTTTCTTATCATGTTCTTTTACAATAATTTATTTAAAATAAGTGCATCAAATTTATAATAAATATTAAATAGTGTAAAAACTTATAAACAAAGCATTATAATTACTATGCAGCACAACAATTACATTGCGTACTATAAAAATGGTACTCTCTCTCATTTATCTCACTATATATATTTATGTATTTACTATATTTATTAGAAAAAAAGAAAGAAAGAAAAAAAAAAAAAGATAATTTTCATTCTGATATCATAATATCATAATATTAATACTAATTTTTCAGCAATACTTCAGACATAATAAAATATTTTAGTACGTTGAGAGACGTAATCAGTACTGCAATTAGGATTAGCATTTTAGTTTATAAAATATAAGATCTATATGACTATAACATTTTGGTTGATGTGTCAGAGCAGAATAATTATTCTATCAATAAACTCTGTTTCTGCGCGCGCGTACTTTTCATTATACTTGATAAATAGACTAGACTATGATAAATCACTATTCTGTATGGTCATCCTTTCTTTACATAGCAAGAAAACATGTATTCACAGAAACAAAGATATCTTCTCTACTTTCTATTCACAGACAAATTGCAATGTGTAACTTTTCATTTGATTACCTAAAAAAAAAAAAAAAAATGATTTACACGATATCATTTTTATATGAATTTTGTTAACAGAAGACGAAGAAGAAGAAGAAGAACACTTACAAACACGATTTCATTCAACAATAAAAAAAAAAAAAAATCGATGTGTAAATCATGTAATGTCATCATTGTAATTAACAAACTGCCATTATATTATCAATAAACAAGATATATATATATATATAAATAGTAAGAAAAGAAATAACATAAATACACGAAATATTGCCATTTCTCATTATTATACACATTTTGTTAAATAATGTTTGGATTTACATATTGAATATTTCTTTTGTCAATATATATTTTTCTTATATTAAATAATAATCATAGCAATATTCGTGTTAACAAGCTTTAGTAATGCAAAAATTAAACAACAAAGAATATAAAAACAATCACGTGATATATTTTTCATTGGAAATTATTTGTAATATCTTTTATATTTCATTTTCAATTGTATTTAATTTGACATGGTCCCAGCCAGTCCATATTAATAGTTTTTGTTTCTGTTTGTTTTTTTTTAATAATATCACTAATTATAAGATAGGTGACAACTCAAATCAGATTGGATATTTATTATTTACCTAAATCGTGTCATATTAATTATGACCAACAAATCGTGAATTTTTGTTTATTTATATAACTTTGCATTTTGTTTTCTGGCTACATCCTGTACCAAGCATAAATGCTTTGTAAGATTGAAAATTCCATTTGTATATAAGAACATCATACTATTATTAGTATAACTACATCTACGTGATTTCGTTGTAATGAAATATTGATTAATGAAAATTTTTACGATCAAATTTCCATTAAATCACAATACATATTTTAGTACAACTGTAAAAGTATAATAAGTAACTTAGAATTGTTCTTTGTTACCATTATCATTCATATAAATTTTATCACAATGCATTCGTAAGAAGGCACGAGATAAATTAATTGGAAGATTTTCTTTCTCTAAAGTGCAATGTATATAAGCATGATTTGAAAATATAATCTCACTCAGGGTCTGTTTCTCCTTCACCAGCAGGTAATATTGCAATGATACCAGCTGCCGCTACTTTTGCTTTGTATGTCTCCGGTTCGAACCAGCGAATCGGTGCCTGTAAACGTTTCATAAATTAATAAGAAAATTGGTATTATATTTAAACATTATTATAGAATAAAAAAAACAAATATGTTCTTACCTGTAAATGATGCTAAAAGCAGCATGCTTTAAATCTACTAAATGTTATGCTGCCAACGCAAATGTAATCATGCTATTTTGAGAATTTATCCAAAAGATCTTTTCGTATAATTGTATTTTTAACACATTGCCGTAAATGACGGCTATAGTCGTCCGATTTGTAGCGATATGTACAAATGACGGTTACAGCTGTCGAGAGTTTTCATTGAAAAAACGATAAATGCTCAATTTCATATGCCAGTCTAATAAGCAATTGAAAAAAAAAAAATAACAAAATGTATTTCTGAGCACGATCGTCAAATTAAAAAAAAAAAAAATGTGCGGCAACGTGTTAATTGTTCATTTCATTTTCATTCATGAAACAATGATAATAACTTGATTACAAGTATATAATATATATTTTAATACTGTTATATATAAAATTATTACACATTGTTAAGTTTAATTATTATTATTATGGAAATTTAAGGTTTTATATAGTTACACACAACATTATTCATTTCATTTTTAATATCATTTATAATTAATATAAGTATTTAATTTTATTATTTAAATAGCATTTAAATAATAAATACAATAGAAAGAAAAAAAAAACAATATAACATTTTATAATCTCAGGAAATAATATTCGTCATTGAATACAACATAGAAAACATAAACGTTAAATATTTACTGTTTTATAATCAGTCGTAATTTAGCCACGTAAGTCTATCATAACTCCAAGCCAAATAATCTAGCTTAAAAATTATTTACTAAATCGAATAATACTTTTAGCAGTCTTGTAATGACTTACTATTTTAACATTACACAACTAAGCATTAATCAGAAATTCAACAAAATATAACTGAAGTATAAATTGGAACATTAATAACATAATTAAAATATATTAATGTTAAAATGTTAAACTCCATTATAATGTAGTTAAAGCAATAAGCTCAATAACAATCAAATAAAATTAAACAAAGTTAATAAAAATAATATCCTTAATTAAAATTTAACCTCGTTATAAGACTGCTTAGAGATTAAATAAGGAAGAGTTTCTTAAAGAAGAAAACATTTGAACAATTCAAATTCTCTAACTGTTATCACATATTTGAGTATTGTATTTTCAGTTAAACGTAATAAGACTACCATCGTACAATACTTCTCTTCCATTACTATAACTTATTTGAATATTATATTCAGTTTTTCATATTATACGACTAGAAGACATACACATGTATATTATATAGCGACATAGTATTTTTTGAAGATTATTGCTAGTCTTATACTGAAACTTCATAAACAAATTTTAAAAGAATCTAGGTATATAATAGAGGAAGAGCATTCATACATTCTTTTAACAAAATAAAAAGAAGTCTTATAACGAGATCTAATTGTATTCAACGATTATGAAAGTTAACTTAAATTTTATACTTTGGCATTCATTTTCATGATGTTAATCAATTTATGTGTATCTAACATATCATAGTAGATAATATAATATATAATATATTATATATATATTACATATTATTCTACATAGAAAATTTGGATCAAAACAACTAAAAGATTAATTTTTCATCTTATAGTTAATTAGACTTTTGTTTTTATCTATAAGAAAAAAACACCCTATTCATGAAGAGGAGTATTGAGATATTAAATATTAGTCATCTTGCAAGATAGATTATTAGCATTAAAAAAGGAGCACATTAGATGATTAGCATTACTATCACAGACGTCTACCTTACGAACAATATTCGGGCATTCCTTTTGTATACGAGCCCAATCTGCAGGAGGTCGTTTTGCATAAGGACCTGTAGAGCATAGCAGCAAGAACTCATAAGTAAGTTCTCTGACTTTTGAATCTGAAATTTTATTTCAAATCATTGAACTATAACTTAATAACAATTCTCGAAGAAATATGAAATATAAATTATTACTAATTTCGAACTATAATTAAATACCTTGATCAGATGATTGAATATCTGTAACAAGATGTGATTTATATGTTTCTTCACTTTCCGAAGTAGCTGTACTATCCATACTTAATTCTCGTCCTAATGAAACGGCATTACTTGGAGTTAATGGCGTTTGTGCTAAATTATTATCAGTAGAAATAGGTTTATCATCAAAAGTAAAATATTCTATTCCACTTCCAAATTGTTCAGAATCTCCTAAGAAGTATTCATCCAACACTAATTTTGCAGTCTGAATAAAACAAGAAGTATCATTTTAAATGTAGATAGAAAAATTGTAAAAAAAATACAAATATTATATAGTACAAATTCTTACCCTAACAAGATCCAAATTTGTTCCTGTAATCTTAAGGGATTGATTGTCGACTGTAACTGTATATTTATATTCGCCAATACTGGCGTCGTTGGTGGAGAAGCTATGAAGGAGTGAACTTCTCAAACGAGAATTCTGTTGTTGATGTTGCTGCAATCGATTACTTTCTTCAGATGCACTACTATTTAAAGAAGAACTTGAACCTCCTATACCTCCTTTTTCTCCTCCACCTTGCTCCAATCGTATCGGGGATGCATTTCGTTGAATCGTATCCTTTATTAAATCCTTCGCATAACTAAAAGTAAATTAATATTATTTAACAAAAATATATTCAATAAAAAATAAATACTTAAAGAAAGTTTGTTATAACAGTAAAATATATCAATTTACTGTATCTTGTCCTCGGAAGTGCCAGTTATTTGGACAAGTCGTTCTTTAGCCCCAGGGTTTACTACAAAAAGAAAAACAAAACAAATAATTTAATACAATATCATCATACACATTATAGTTATTATACTTAGAAAGAGAGAGAGAGAGAGAGAGAGATCAGTTTAATATTATTCATTAAAAACGTATATCACACATATATTTATATAAGATTGTTAATTACAAGATGGTAATAATTACAACATATTATATAACTTCAATCAACAGCACAATTCAAATTATTGATGTTAAATATTGTTTTAATAATTTTTCTCAAATGTATAATAAAATTTCATGAAATTTATCATTTAATTTTCTGAAATAAAAATGACGTAGTGTGTTTTACTAGGATCTATAGATATTATATGTATAATTGCATTGTAGTAAAAATTTGATAATATTTCAGATAATAATCCAACATTTCGAAATCATTTTTGTGGTGGTAATTATATCATTATGTATGTAACTTTATTCTTTAGATTATTATTTTCAGTTTTTATTAATAATATATTTACCTTACAATGATTATAATTTAAAAAGCTGCAGGCATAATGCATAACAGTTATATATTGCATCATTGAACATACAGTGGCACATGCCATGATGATTTTTTAAAGGATAAAGAAATAATAACAAATTAAGCTTCTGCAGAATGTGTTTCAACTTTTTATATATCTTATATTTATGACTTTCAGATAACCTGAAGTTTTTTACTTTCAAATCAGTATATTAACGATTTGAACATCTTCGTAGCCAAATCCTGACTAGCAACTCACTTGATAACGTTCTCTTGAAATTAATAATTAATATTACAATAAAATAATGTATATATGTATTTATATACTTAAAATTATCACTTTATATAACCTTTTTAATAAATCTAAAATAAAATTTATATTATATAAATGATATATAAATAAGAGCAATTAAAACCTTACAATTTCTAAATTAAAACAAAAATATTATACAGCTACATGGATTTCCTAATATTATCAGAAATATGTCACGTCTGTTTCGTATAATCATTTGTAAAATTGCGATGATTCTTAGTATATGATGCATGTAGTATGCTTGCAATTAAAAATAAATTAGTAATTGTCAAATTGTTTGTTGTAAAACATTAGAATTGAATTATTTATAATTGCAATCTAAAAAACATGTGATTAAACTCACAAATGTTAGAATATTAGGATATGATAAGGAATTAGGTATCATTTGAATCGTCAAGTATTATTTTGATGATGCACGAGCAAAATGCTGATAAGCAAATCGCAGATCATTGTTTTACCTCGCTGGAAGGAGATGATCGTCTGGCTCAGTTCTTCGATCATGTGAACACGACGCCCTTTTATTCCCATCACTGTATTTTTACGTACATAGTTTAAAAATCGATGGAACAAACATATATGTATATATATAAACCGCTCGAAATGATTTAAATTGCACAACTACTTTATTAAAAATTTAATATAAAATTATAATAAAATAAGCACAAAATAAATATGGTAGCTTGTGATATTTAAACTAAATAAATATATAATGTTTTTCATTAAATTAAAAATATGAAAAAGCATATCTCCAGAAAAAATCATTGTTTTCAATAGGGGTAGTATTATATTATGCTCATAAGTATATGAGCTATACTATAGTGTAGTATTTATATAGTCAATTATAAAATATGAAAATATCATTAATTATATTTACCTTTACCAGAATCACTGTTGCGTATAACAACTTCATCTTTGCAATAATTTTTACCAGGAATCCGAGTAGGTTTAGCAAATTTTCCACTATTTTTAATGACATCACCAGGACCGAGTATAGAAGTAGCAGTTGGTGAAGCAACCATCAAAGGTGAAGCCAATGGATTTGCAAGTGTTTCTAGAGTTCCTTCTGTCTGTAAATATATAATTTCAATTAATAAATACAAAAATATGGTATATTATTCAAAATAAAAAGAAAAATTCAAGTACATTATCAAGGTGTGATAATTTATGAGTATAATATACATCCATAGAGTCTGTGTGACGCCATTGTTTAGCTCGCAGTTCTATGAGTTCCAACAAGTGAACCCTAGTCGTCAGATCTAGTCTCTCGTCTTGACTTCCATTCCTTATTGCGACAAAAGCTCTGTCCAGCTGATCTGATTATGCAAACATATTATTCAAAGAAATAGTAACAACTTAAATATGTAGTTAAACTTTCAGCATAACAAATATTTCATACAAATTAATAATATTTGAAAATAATAATATTAAATATGTAATATTACTAGGAATTCAATAGAACATAAATAATATACCTTTGTAAATAGCTTCTAGTTGATGTGCATAAAGTTTCAAATGATTACACATTGTAACCACATTCATTTGCAGCGTTTGGTCATGGAAGCCATTAGTTAGTTGCATCGTAACATTGTCGATTAAGGACACTATGTCCTCCACTATTAAACAAATACATAATTAGTTACAATGAATAACAAAGTGATAAAATGTCTATATATAGAATACTTATGATTTTGTTATATGAATATTTTTTTCTTTATATAGATATAAAATTATAGTTTATAAAACTATTGTTTAAATAGTACTTATAATATATAAATTACAATAATATTAGATTAAAGTTATATATCAAATATTAATTAAGAACTTTTGCATTTTAATACAAAAAAGAAATGACTAATTATATTATATATTATATAAAATATATTGAGTAATTATATATGAAGTAAATATATATATATATATATATATATACCTGTCGTGATCCGTCCATCGACGGTCGTATGTCGATGAATAAGTTTAAGTGGCCGAGGTTTTTCGATTTTTTTTACTGTTCGTGTCCTATTTAGTTGTGTCGTGGCCATTGTTTATTACCTTTAAACAAAATAATAATTAATTTAAATTAAATGACATTTTCACGTTATATTAGAATTATAAATAAATAAATTAATAATCAACAACAAAATCAGAACGAATGTCTTTTTTTCTTTTTTTTTTTTTTTTCTTTACAAATAAATCTGATTAACACTCATGAAAACTTGACAATATTTTGTATAAATTTGTGATAAAAAGAAATAATTTGACTTATTACCTAATAATGATGAAAAAAAAAAAAGAAAAAAATACTATATGAGATATAATAAATTATATTGATATTTACAAGAGGAAAGGAGACATATAAAATGTAAAAATGAATTGTGTTTATGCGAAGGCGGCATTCGAGATCTAGTCTCGGTAGTTGACTCTAGACGACGCACTTCTGCGTCGCGCGCGATTTAAAAATAACCGTGAAAAAGAAGAACGCGAGAAGAATGCTTTTAGTTTTAGGAATTATCGATTACACATGTTAAAAGAAAAAAAAAAAACAAAAAAAAAACAAAACAAAACAAAAAATAATAGAAACATCGTGAAATGTGTTAACATCGATTATTGTTTACATGCTTTTCGATAATTATGATATAACATCGATAAAATGTTATCTCTTTTCGAAGATAGGGTAAGTCGTAGAGACGTATACGTAACGATAAAAATAATTTATGCTACAACCATATGTGTGAGGCCATGCATACAGAAGTAAAGAAAGAGAACGATGCAAACGCGCGCGCGATAGAGAGAGAAAGAGAGAGAGAGAGAGAGAGAGAGAGGGAGAGAGTAAGAAAGAAAGAGAGGGAAAGAACATAGAAATCGTGGGGGCGGGTCATTAGGATTAAGAGTGGGGAGGGGTAGAGAGTCGACAAAGGAGATAAGGCAGAAAGAGAAAGGGACAAATGAGGGAAGAGGGAGAGAGGGGAGATAGGAAAAAAGAAAGCTTTAACCCTTATTTTATAATTATATGAATGTAACTACTATATAGATCTACTTGAATTATTCAAAATGATTATAATCTTTTTAGCATAAATTCAAGTTTCATGAAGAAAATGAGTTAAGTTGGAAGATGGAATTTCATCTATGTGTCAAATGGAAAGAGTGGAATAACATTTAACATTTGACGAGGAATAAATTGTTTTTTAAATATACAACGAGCATTGTTAAACTTCACACGTTTCACACTTTTTAATCGTAGATCACCTACCACCTTTTCTCTCGTGCCACGGATCAACGACGGGCAAATCGTATGTTCGTAGAAATCGGTAAGACGTGTCGTCGACATCCACCGAAAAGTTAGTGCCAACTGTCGAAGGCATACCAATATTATACTAAAAACTTACCGGATGAATTGATACATATATATATACATCATACATACATACATACATACAGGAATAAAATATTATTTTCATAATTTCTTATATTTCACATAGAATTTCGATACATTAAAGAAATGTATAAAAAATTAAAATATAACAAAAATGATTTATATATATATAAATAGCGTTAATATTATAGTATACATAACTTATATATTTTATAATATATTGATATTAACATGTCAATAAATATGTTAATCTCTTGTAATATTTTAGTATATTTTACATTAATTTTTTTTTTCTGCGAGTTGTTGTTTTTATTCGTCATATTAAATTGTAGATACTTTTAATATTTTTCGAATGTATACATGTATACATGAATAAGAATTGGGATATATTTTTTTTTTTTTCCAATAGAAGGTGTTTCTATAAAAAACAAAAAAAATAACATATAAAATGACATTGAAAACATTTTATTCAGTCTGTAAGAAGCATTCTACATGATGATCGTAATAACACGAACAGTAATAATAAAAAAAAAAAGAAAAATAATAATAATAATAATAATAATAATAATAATAATGAAAACGATGGTAATGATGATATTGATATTGTTCAAAATGTAATAATAATTATAATCATGATATTGATGCCACTGATGATGGCGATGATTTATGACTTGATTTGATTTTATCGCGACAAAGGCGAAAACGGGATGATAATGATAACGATGATGATGATGATGATAATGATAATGATGATGATGATGATGATGATGATGATGATGATGATGATGATGATGGTGATGGCGGGTGCTTGTAGTAATGATAATGATGATGATGATAGTTGTGGTGGTTGTAGTGGCGGTGATGATGACAATGATGACAATGACGACGACGACGACGATGACGNGATGACAATGACGACGACGACGACGATGACGATGACGATAACAATGATGATGATGATGATGATGATGATGACGACGACGACGACGACGACGACGATGATGATGATGGTGGTGGTGACGGTGAAAATGATGATGATAATGATGATAATGATGATGATGATGATGAGGTTGATGAGGATGATAAATTACTATTATTATCGTTTGATAATAATAGTAATATTATTATTATTAGTAGTAGAAGTAGTAATAGTAGTAATAGTAGTTGCAGTAATAGTAGTAATGGTAGTATTATAATCCATAATAATAATTCATTCATAATAACCATTTGTAATATACAGGTAAACTCTCTTACATGTTGAATTTTCATAATACATAAATAATAGAAAATTTACCAATAAATGAAACATATTATATTTTCTCAGACTATGAATGTAGTCAATAAATTATTCCTATCTTGACTCTGCTGCAAAGATATCTTGTTTCTTTTGTATTCGGCAGCATTGTTGGATTTGAAGAACTACTTTAAAATCACTGTTTACAGTAACGTTTACATTCCTTATGCCTTTCTGTACATTGATCAATCATATTATATCTATCTACTATGTAGATATAAAAGCATATGAAAACGATTCTATTTCAAATAGAATAAACTTTATATATTTTTAGTAAATATAATACAACAATCTAAAGAATTCTAGTAAAAAAAAATCTCAGTACAGTAAATATTTAAACAATACAAAATGACATAGTTATGCAAACGAAACTGTTACAGTTTCATTACTGTAACTCCATATTTCTATTGATTTGAGGTAGTGTATTCAATATAATCCTATTATCTTGCTGCTATATGTTATGTGCGGATATGTGTCTCATATGAATATCTTTTTTACACCCATACTCTCTTACTACAAGCCCAAAACATTGACGATCATATTGTTATTATTTAACAAAAATTTATTGAGTTTATATACTATATACTACAAATCTCCCAGTTCATATTTTTATTGTAAATAATATTTCTTTCAGCGTAAATATATATATATATTATATATATATATATATATATATATATATATAATCCGTGGTGATATGAAAATAGTTGATTGATTGAAACAGACTTGTGTAACTATAAATTTGTTCTGGGCTCATAGATCTCTTAGTTGTAAGGGTGCTTAGAAAATTATCGTCTATGCATGGAGTATGAAAAATCCAAATCACGGACAAATCTTGAAACTAATTGCGTTTATACTTTTGTTTCCTTAAAATGTAGAGCAACATTATACATACACTTGCAATCATTCATGCTCACACGCAAGTGTTATAACACAAATTATCTCAAAATTTTTCCGCTATTCGGTATTTCAACTTCATTACCAAATACGACAAGGCTGCTGACATTAGGCTTGCTAGCACTTGTAAATAATGCCCAGCAATTGTGTTATTTTGTTAGTTTTTTTTTTTTTACATATTATTTCTTGAATAATTTATCACATTTTAATCATTTTCACAGATTAGAAAAGAGGAGGCACATGTAACATCATGCCTTACCAAGATAGCTCAATCTATGAACACTTCTGTAAAAAATATAACATCTATGGATGGTTGAGCTCTTGGTTAGCATATGGCGAATTAACACTCTCAAAGGTAATGCGGACCACTTCTGCAGGAATGAGCAACGAACACTCATACCCAAGCGTGAACTGTGTTAGAAATCTACACAATATTGCATTTCTTTTATTTTACAGGAGATAATACTCCTTTAACATGAAAAAGTCACCCTGTAATCTCATTTAGTAATATTTAAAAAATGGAACCTATTCAAGCGCAAGAGCTAAATATATCCCGCGATTTGATTGTACAGGTCTTATTCACTATTGCAGAAGTGATTTTCGCTCTAAGTCTTCCTTTATTAGTTTGTACTTCGACGTAACATGTTCCCCCTCCTTAAAAATTAAACACTGCAAACTTAAACAGTACTACAAAAATTTACTATATCAATTTTGAATTTTGACACGATTACGTTATCCTTATATTATATTTTAATATAAGTTTAACCACTTAATGAAATCAATTCTTAGTTAAAATAACAATTACAATGTATAAATACATTGCAACAAAAAAAAACTTAACATAAAATATGATTCACATCAAGATGTAATAGCCTCAACAGTTCACCAGGGGAAAAACAAACGAAACATACATTTAATAGTTAAACTAGTAACTACTTTACTACACTAGACAGCGAGAAAATCCTAAGACATGCGATATCATACAATGAATCATTATTCGTAGAAGTTGCAAAATTTTTGCATTTCCTAAACAGTATTTTTTTTTTTTTTTTTTTTCCATGTTAAACACGAATTTCGTAACTTTGCACGGAATGTCTTGTGATTTTTACGCTTATTTAACAATTAATTCAATATCATTCTTCCTGCTATGTTATTGATTCCATTATTTATAGCTGGAGAATATCTCAAAATAAAGCAGACCCATTGCCTACTTTCAACTTTTATGCTTAACTTACAATTTTAAATCTTGGAGCCGAAATCCATTAGTTTCTTAACCATATACATGATGAGAATCTTTGTTTTATTAAATTAAGCTCGTATATACCCCACATATATTATTGGAGAATTGTTCCTTTCATACCAATATACTATTTCTTCTTTTTGATGGAATATTTCAACTCCATAGATAAAAATTGATTTCAGAGACAACAGTTAAAGGTTAAAATCAGTATTAACTATAAGTATTAATTACACGACCATTAGTATGTCTTATACAGTAATAAATTACCATCGTGCTATTTCACTTCACCATCGATGGTAGTCTTTCATTACTAGATGTTATGAGTTATAGCATTATTTAATAAACGAGTATTAGTGGCATCTGCTGTTGTCAAGAAGAAGTTAAGTAAATTTTGTTGCACGTTACCTTAATAATTAATGTTGTATGAAATTCTGCTCTATAAGTTACTATAAAGCTGATTTAGTGGTGCCGTTTCTTTTTAAAACCTATAAATAAACAATAATATCATTTCAATGTTAAAAGATACTTATATTTAAAATAATTAAAAAAAAAAGGTAGAGAGTTTTACTTTTTTTAGCTTTTCCTTTTTTCTGAGTTTTTCTTGTTTTAGATGGTACAGATGAAGTCTCTCCGAAACTAGTAATTTCATCACCAAGAGTACCAAGAGTTGTCATCTGACGGCGTCTATGTTTTTCTTGTTTGGTAACAGGTAAACGTGTCATGTAATTTTCTTCATATTCAATTTTTCGCTTATTTTCACGCCCCAGACTGGCTTGTTTTTCAATTAACCCTTGTGCATCTTCTATCGGTGCATCTAGGTATTCTTCTTTTAATTCCCTTAATACTGCACCAGAGACTGCACGTCTGCGGGCTCTTTCACCAGCCTTACGCATCTTTTCTGCTGCTGTTTCATCTCCATCTATAAAACAGTGATACATAAGAGATTGATTTGGTATAATAGAAGTGATGGCAAACATATGATACATTATTAAAAGATTTTAATACAAACCATAGTGAACGGCAGCAAGTTTTGGTGGCACATAAATATTTGATTTTCTGGTTTGAGATGATTTAAAACCATCTTCATCACCTTCTTGATCACTATCCGACTCTTCATCAAAACTATCAATCTTAGCAATTATTGCATCAGGATCTGCTTTAAAATTAGTGGGATCATTACTATTAGTGGTACCAGTTACTGCAGTCTTAACAAGTTTATCTATTTGATATTTAAGCTTGTTATCTATTGGTCGGATTTTTTCTAGGACTGTCCTGATTTCAATAAGGCGATCAATAGAGGGGTCACCTTCGATACGTTCACCTGAACATTTTCTTAAGACTACGTAAGTTAAATTAATAAGATAGGAAAGTAACATGTGATACTTCATCTCTAAGAAACTAAAACCCTTGTCCGTTGAGATTTCTCCATTTTTTACACGCACCAACATATTATCTACAAGTTGGTTTACTTGCAGAACATTAGCATTCATTTCCCCCAACAAGCGAATAGCCTGTGGGAGATCCCTTTGTTCCATTTCATCAATTGCCTACAAATACAATTAATTTGATTTAATAATTACATATAAATTAGCATTTAATTAATATTATAATATTTAATATATAGTATCATAAATGAATACATTAAAAAAACATAATTTAAAATAATCCTTTTTACATAATATTTCTAATATCAGTAATAAAAAGAATTTTATACTGCAAAATATTATATATACATGTATATATACATATATGTATAGATATATATATATATATATACATACATAAATATATATATATACATATTTATATATATATATATATATGTATATTCGTACACACATATTTTGTTATGATAAGAAACGTACATTCATATCTCACATATGTTTGTTTACACTTTAATAAATACTTTTTCGCATTTATAAGACACCACGTTTTATGTTACGAAATTAATCAACATTGAAAAATTTAATTTCACTGAATGTTTATTTAAATATTCACTATATTTCACTTAAAAAATAAAAACCGCGCAAAATTTCATTCAGAAAACCATGATGTGTACTATGTTTCAAGACTATCGGTATGAATTATTATAGTAAACACTTGGTTTTTATAAAAATGTCTGCCTTCCGAATATATGAGAAAAAAGCGCAATAATCTGCTGCCATCTTTCCTATTTACTAATGGATGACAGTGAAAAAAAAAAATAATAAAGAATTCCCAATAGAACTGACAGAAAAATGCACTCATTTAGGAATAAGAAATAAAAATTCATTAATGTAATTTGTTCAAAAGTTTGCACTTACTTGTACCATTGTTCTGCAATAAAAATTAAACGAATAAATGCATATCTAAACAACGTAACTTGTAATTAAACGAGTCCCCACGTGGGACGTTATTTTACTTTTCCTGGGTATATTTTTTCTCTTACAAAAGCCTGGTCAAAACACCAACTGTTGTCTATTTAATTGTATAAATATTTCTTTTTTCAAATATTAATAATTATTGAACATAGTAATGCTATTATGAAATATTAATTTATGAGATATAAATTAACAAAATATATCATCTACTTAAATAATAAAGTATCTTCATTCTGAATCTACTTCCTTTATTTGAGAGTATTAAAAAAATGCGGGAATTTCAATTGATACATTAAGATCATTTTTTTTCGTATAACTATTACAAACTTCCTTAAAGCATAGATTGAAATATGATTTATACAGTTTTAATTTTAAAGAACATAGAAAATTCTAACAGAGGTAAATGTAACACGAATAGGAAAATGAAATACGCTATTTTGAAGCAAATACTGACAGAAATAGAAATACTTAATAAGGTCTATGATAAAAAATGATTATGTTTTTTGATCTTGATTATCTTCATAGTTATATATATATATATTTTTTTTTTTTATGTTAATGTTTAACTTTGACAATAAATTTTGGAATGATCTCTGAAATACTTATCTACGTTAATATAAATAATAAATTTTTTTTTAATATTAGTATATAGGTACAATGCACTTTTGCTGATACTTGGCAACACTGTAATATACTAAAGGTTAGGAGAGTAACAAATTCTAGGGATTTTTTAATAAAAACATTTCTCATCGTTACCTTACTTATCAGATGTTTCGTGAAGAACTTCAAGTACAAGTAAATATCATTTTAGATGTGAAAGTGAATAGGGTGAGTGTGGTTAACTGCAAGTTCCAAGTTTGTTGAACGGCGTGACGCACCTTCGATAATAATTATAAAGTTATAGGAATGGTAGGAATGGTTTTGTGTACATTGTTTCTTTAAATTAAATAATCAAATCATACTAATTATATTATCTTCATTTTGTCAAATATTTATATTGAATAACGTAATATATCCTTATAAGATAATATTTTCAATTTACGAGTTTAGTTTAATATTTGGAACTTAACCAATTCTATGTTTATTATATATCAATAAAACATTGTTATATAGATTTGATTAGATTTATAAACAAAATATAAACTAATGTTTATTTAAAATTAATTATATATACT